GTGTGGCTCGTACAGCTAGTTTTAAATAATACTCTCTTGTTTAAGAAAAGTATCTGTTGCCCTGCTGTGAGTAATATAATACTACTTAGTGGTGTATATCAAATACCATATTTGTAATATGCCCCTGTGCTAAAGACAATTAAAAAGAATCTTATGAAATAATAGGAAGTAATTTTGTTGGGCAGAAACCCCATTGTCACTTTCTCTTAAGTTTCTGAGAATTAACAAAATAATTAAATAGCTTTTATAACTCATGTTGTACTTTCCAATTTTCTTGTGAGATATACTTTTCCCAGTTTAGATAAAGGCGTTCTTTCTGGAGGCAAACTTTTCTTTGCTTCCAGTAAGAAGATAACTCTTGTCAGGGGTTTTTCCCCCCATTTTTCATTTTTTTTCCTAATAATAAAACAAGATTTTTATGTTCTCAAAACATGAGAGGAATAAAAAAGTAATTTATTGAAATGTCTATACTTAAAGAAAAGACTAAGAGGCAGGAGGGATGTGTTGTTGTTACTATAGAAGATAGGATGATGCCTTACTATATAAGATAGGATGAGGCCTTAAATACAATGGTTTCTTGTGAAGCAATGAAAGTTGGGGCAATCATTTTCCTGATTGTCCAAGTCCTGAATGCTGCAGTTCTTTAATTTTTTAAAGGACTTAGTTACCATTAATAGATCATAAATAAATCAAACATTTATATAAATTCATTTATATTAACCCCAAGGACAGTGAAAACAAGTTGTAGGACAGTGCTTGGGCAGTTGCTTTAATTCAGGTGTATGCAGGATCACAGATTTCCACCTCTGTCCTAATCCCTCGGCACTGGACAGTCACAGATACGGGAAATCCAAATACTCATTCAGCTTGATATCTATATGATTTACTTGATATATCTGAGACCAAAGAACTTTCTGATTGTCGAAGGCTTTCATGGCCGGAATCACTGGGTTGTTGTAGGTTTTTTCGGGCTATATGGCCATGTTCTAGAGGCATTCTCTCCTGACATTTCGCCTGCATCTATGGCAAGCATCCTCAGAGGTAGAGAGGTCTGTTGGAACTAGGAAAATGGGTTTATATATCTGTGGAATGACCAGGGTGGGACAAAGAACTCTTGTTTACTCTAAAATTACAACAGCGAAACAACAGAGAGGAAACAAGAAGGGACATCTAATCACCTCTCAACAAAAGATTGCCCCAGGCACTGCCAGGCCATCAAATGCTAATCAAGGTGGTCAGTTGAAACATTCACACCTAGCTCCAACAGACAAGAGTTCTTTGTCCCACCCTGGTCTTTCCACAGATATATAAACCCATTTTCCTAGTTCCAACAGACCTCACTACCTCTGAGGATGCTTGCCATAGATGTAGGCAAAACGTCAGGAGATAATGCCTCTAGAACATGGCCATATAGCCCGAAAAAACCTACAACAACCCAACTTTCTTATTGCTCTGATCCCTTCCACATTTACCTAATCACCCCCTTATTGACTGTTCTACTTTTTCCATTAATTTGAAGACATTTATTACACTGTAGACCCCTCATAATCCTTTTACATAACTAGCAGGTTTCTTTGTGCAATATATGGATCCCTGCAGTAGTAAATAGAATTATGGAAATGCTTAACTTTTCACAGGCTTCCTGGAAATCTTCCTTCTGCTCAGAATCCATTGCAAAAACAGTTTTCATGTGGTGGTACAGGTTGAGTATTCCTTATCTGGAATTCTGACATCCAAAATTGTTGACATGGCTGGCCACTTTTATTTTCAATATATACTATTATTAAAAATATTATTAAAAATATGCTAGCTGTGTGTGGTGCCTTTCAGTATCTACAAAAATTTTGGAATTCTGGTGTACAGCAAATACAGGATATTCCATTGAATACAATCAGCATGTTTTAACTTGGACCCCCTCTTTTGCCAGCCTGTTACTATGGCAATGCAGAGAGTCAGGTTGTTGTCTAAGATATCTTAACTAAATACCGCACCATCCCCTTGATGCCACCCATTTTTAGTATTTGCTCTGACAGAGACGTGGTGGCATTAGAGTACATGGCATAATAACTGGTGAAGATTTATGATACCAGGGCACCTTTGGGATCCATCAGTGTAAATGGTCTTACAATTGATTCAAAGCAGTGTAATGTTATCATATAAATGTTGGACTCCTGGATACCAAGATTTTGAATCCTAACTCTACCATGGAAACCCACTGTGTTCAAGTAGCAACCTCTTAGCCTTAGCGGGACAGACCTTGACAAGAAAATGGTGTAATATGTGCCATGAATTAGAAATAACTTAAAAACACACAACAAGCTGTCTAGCCAGCATAAATCATGTATAATTGTTCCTCCACATCCACAAATTTCACTTTTGCAGTTTTGATTATTTGAGGATTTGGTTAATATGCTTGATCTAGGTTCCTCCAGTGCTAGTTAATGGTCAATGTCCACTGGAGGTTGACCATAGAGTTGTACTAAAGGACATAGATCGGGGTCCCCAAACTAAGGCCCGCAGGCCAGATGTGGCCCTGATGAAGTCATTTATTTGCCCTCCATTTTATTAGACTTAGAGTCATCCTAAGACTGAAACAACAGGAAGACACACAACAATAGTAACCCTTATTAACTTGACTCTCTCATCAGCCAAAAGCAGGCCCACACTTCCCATTGAACTATTGGTAAATTTATGTTGGATAAAATTGTTTTCATTTTAAATATTGTATTGCTTTTTCATCTTCTGCATTACAAATAAGATACTGCAATGTGCATAGGAATATGTTCATGTTTTTTCAAACTATACCCCCCCCCCCCCCCCAGGACTTTTTCAGGCACTTGTAAGTCTGATGTATTATCGAAGGCTTTCATGGCCAGAATCACTGGGTTGTTGTAGGTTTTTTTTTGGACTATACACTGTAGATTTTTTTGGACCTCACTACCTCTGAGGATGCTTGCCATAGATGCAGGCGAAACGTCAGGAGAGAATGCCTCTAGAACATGGCCATATAGCCTGAAAAAACCTACAACAACCCACTTGTAAGTCTTCTTGCACAATTCTACAGCCAACGCTTGCTCTGAAGTTGACCATGGAGTTGTGTTAAACTCAAGGCTCGCAGGCCAAATCTGGCCCTCCATGTCATCTTATGTGGCCCTCCAGACCCTGGACTACAATTCCTGTATTCCTCATCATTAGATAGTATAACTTGAGCTAATGGGAGATAGTGATATCTGGCAGACTGCAGTTTGTTCTCTTTACTCAGAATGTAGATGCAATGCTTGCGGATATGACACCTAACTTTAAAATGTTTCCCAACCTCAGAGCTACAAGTGCTGTTGAGTTGTTATTCTCTTTATCCTCGGAGTTGTTCAGTGACATCTAGGGACCCAAACTGGGTAAAAACTAAATAACATCAACCACTGTGTAGACAAATTATAGTTGGCCCTCTGTATCCACAGGTTCTCTGTCCATGGATTCAACCAGCCTTTGAAGGTTTATCTGGCCCTCAATGAAAATGAATTTGACACCCGGACCTAGAGATTCCTAGGAATGTGTTTATTTATGTTATTGTTGTTGCTTGTAAATTATATTTTTATTGCTGTTAAATTATTATAGTGGTACAAGACATATTGCATGTAAAGCATTATGCTGAAAGCATTTTTAAGTGCTGTATATTTTATTTTCAAAAGAGAGCCTAAGGAAGTAGTTTGCATTATTTTCAATGGGCAAAGTGGCTCATTGGTTGTGTGTCACTGAATTCACAGTTCCTTCATTATATGTGAGACTAGAAAGGATGCCTGCAACTGGGTGTGAAACCAGTCGTAAAGGTTTCCTGGACCTTTTGCAAAAGTACAGTCTTAAGAAGTACTATTATTATTGTGGTGAAGTGTAAATTTTAATCTAAAGTTATGTATAATTATAGATAGGCGTTTGAAATGGTAAGTATTTAAAGTTGCATAACTGGGGGGAATGGTAGCCAGCTCAGCTCACTTTGAGATTGGTTACCATGGAAAAGGGGGCGGAGCCAAGTGCCACTTGGCAGGGCTGCCATTTTAAAACGATCAGTCTGTAGTCTGTGAAATGCAGGAGTGGCTGGTTCTGTGGTGTAGTGAGAACCAGGAAGGTAATCTGTAGTTTAAAAACTACAGGGAAAGGCTGATTCTGTAGTAGTGAGAATCAGAAAGGTTTTGGCTTTTAGCCTAGGTAGTTTAGATAAGTCGAGTTGACTTATTTATATTAGTAGTTAGTGTATGAATAGAAAGGGTGAGAGAAACCCAGTGAGAATCTTTAATACAACAAAAATATCACAAAGAAAGAATAAGCTTGTATCTAAAGTAACCTATTAAGGAAAAAAACACAGTTTGAAGAAAAATAAGTTTGAAACCTGTTTAGTAGAAGGAAGAGTCCTTTCCAGAGTTGTTTTAAGGAATGTTATAAATGTAACCTCTGAAGATATGTGCCTCTAAGAATCAAGAAACATTGAAACCATCAAGCTTCTGCTACATTTCAATAAACTTGTTACAGTTTCTTCTAAAGCCTGGTCTCTGTTACAATTCCTTTCCAAGTTAAGGCACGCTACACCTTGAAGAAAGACCAAATCAATATTACTAGCTATTAGCTACGCTATCAATTTAATAAGCCCTTACAAAGTGGTGGCTCCTTTACAAAACCATTAAAAACTGGTGGCTTCTTCGCAAATTGGTGGCCATCATCACAATTATTATTATTATCATTATTACTATTATTATTATTATTTTCTCGCTTAAAAGAGACTCAAAATGGTTCACAATATAAAAACGTAAGAAATGACAGAAACCTTTTTAAACATAGTCTTCTCACCATGTGGAGTGTTATGCAAATTTCTCTAAACAGTAACATGCAAATGCTTTGAAACATACAAAGTAAATTAGCATACTGCTATTTTCTTAGTAGTAACATTTTAGATTTAAAAAGTGGGGAACCCTTTAATATTTTCTTTGCATGTTTTTTCCATTTTATAGCTCTGAAGCAACTATTATCTCAGGGAGAAAGTTGGCTGCCCAGGTCTGTGCGGAGATACAAAGGGACTTAGAAGACTGGCTCACCCTCGGAAAGAAGAGGCCTCATCTCACAGTTGTGGTTGTGGGGGACAACCCAGCCAGTCACACCTATGTCAGAAATAAAGTAAAAGCAGCAGCAGCTGTAGGTATGCCTTTAAAAAAAAGAAATTATATCAGTGCACAGTTATTTTACCATATTTTTGTCTCAAAGTGCTTATGAAATGTAGAATTATATTTATTTATTTATTATTTAGACCATTTGTACCCCGCCCTTCTCACCCCCGTTTTATATTGTTGTTTTGATACTGTTGAATAGTTGCCTGTGTTAGAATTATACAATTTCACTTTTGTCGGACTTAAGTAAAACAGAGTTGATCTTTTTTCCCCAGGCATTTCTAGTGAAATAATTCTGAAGTCTAAAAATATTTCTCAGGAAGAGCTTTTAGATCTAACTGCCAAACTAAGCAAGGATTCAAGAGTCAGTGGCATCTTAGTCCAGTTACCTCTGCCAGGTAATGTCATACTGTTTTATACAACTGAGATGGGTTGGGTGATTGTGGATGTTAAATGAGAAACATTAAGTGCAGTTTACATACCAGTGCAACCAAAGTGTTAAAAATAATCTTCAAAACTGTATTGATCCCATTGATATTTACTTCCCAATTGTAACCGCTCATTTAAAATAATACATTGTTTCATAGAGGTCAGTATGTTAAAAAACCAACAGCTCTGCTGAATACCACCATACCAATGTGACAAAGGAGATCACTTCCTTTATTGCAATTACTAATCTCAATTTCAAATGAGATGTTCTGGATACTCCATTAAATATAGCAATAATTTTTGCAACTTGTGTGATATTTATATTTTCCACGTGCTAGTGTAGGTCATGAGATGCTTTTCACTCATTTCCTAAGATATCTAAGATACCTTTCAGATATCAGAATACGTGCACAACATTATATATATATGGCTGATATCTTCCTCCAATTGTTGTTGTTGTTCATTCGTTCAGTTGTCTCCAACTCTTCGTGACCTCATGGACCAGCCCACGCCAGAGCTCCCTGTTGGCTGTCACCACTCCCAGCTCCTTCAAGGTCAGTCCAGTCACTTCAAGGATGCCATCCATCCATCTTGCCCTTGGTCGGCCCCTCTTCCTTTTGCCTTCCACTTTCCCCAGCATCATTGTCTTCTCCAGGCTTTGCTGTCTCCTCATGATGTGGCCAAAGTACTTCAACTTTGTCTCTAGTATCCTTCCCTCCAATGAGCAGTCGGGCTTTATTTCCTGGAGGATGGACTGGTTGGATCTTCTCGCAGTCCAAGGCACTCTCAGAACTTTCCTCCAACACCACAGCTCAAAAGCATCGATCTTCCTTCGCTCAGCCTTCCCTAAGGTCCAGCTCTCACATCTGTAGGTTACTACAGGGAATACCATAGCTTTGACTATGCGGATCTTCGTTGCCAGTGAGATGTCTCTACTCTTTACTATTTTATCGAGACTGGACATTGCTCTCCTCCCAAGAAGTAAGCGTCTTCTGATTTCCTGGCCACAGTCTGCATCTGCAGTAATCTTTGCTCCTAGAAATACAAAGTCTGTCACGGCCTCCACATTTTCTCCCTCTATTTTCTAGTTGTCAATCATTCTTGTTGCCATAATCTTGGTTTTTTTTTATGTTTAGCTGTTTCATAGAGGTCAGTATGTTAAAAAAAAACCAACCCTTTACTATTTGGAATAGCTCTGCTGAATACCATCATACCAATGTGACAAAGGAGATCACTTCCTTCATTGCAATTACTACTCCCAATTTCAAATGAGATGTTCTGGATATCGGTGGTCCACGCTCTTGTTACATCCCGAATAGACTACTGCAACGCTCTCTACGTGGGGTTGCCCTTGAAGACTGTTCGGAAACTTCAACTAGTCCAGCGAGCGGCAGCCGGATTGCTCACCGGAGCGACATACAGGGAGCATACCACCCCCCTGCTGTGCCAGCTCCACTGGCTGCCGATTCAGTTCCGAGCACAATTCAAGGTGCTGGTTTTGACCTACAAAACCCTATACGGTTCCGCTCCAGTGTATCTGTCCGAACGTATCTACCTCTACGTCCCACCCCGGAGTCTGAGATCATCTGGGGAGGCCCTGCTCTCGACCCCACCACTGTCACAAGTGAGGCTGGTGGGGACGAGGAGCAGGGCTTTCTCAGTGGTAGCCCCCCACCTGTGGAACTCACTCCCGGGGGAAATCAGGGCATCATCATCCCTCCTCGCCTTCAGGAGGAGGGTGAAGACTTGGTTATGGGACCAGGCCTTTGGGCACTCTGGCAATTAAATCAGACAATCAGGTGAGTAAGACCAGCAGGATGGATGAATGGAACGTAAAACTAGATCTAGGTGTTAACGAACGCTGACCATGTAAGAGGAGAAATTGGGTTTGTATTTGGTTTTTATTGATTTTATTGATTTTATGGTTATAATGCATGCATGTCAACTGTGAATTGTTGTAATTTTGTGTATGATTGTTTATGATACAGGCATCAAATTGTGCCTTGTTTCTGTAAGCCGCCCTGAGTCCCCTTTGGGGTGAGAAGGGCGGGGTAAAAAAGAACCCAAATATTCCATTAAATATAGCAATAATTTTTGCAACTTGTGTGATATTTATATTTTCCACGTGCTAGTGTAGGTCCATGAGATGCTTTTCTCTCATTTCCTACAAAACGATAACGAACCATTCTGGAGCAATTATTAAAAAAACGAATTTTCAAAAACGTTTTGTAAATGCTTCGTATTTCGATATTGTATTCGTTTCGTTATTGTTTTGAGGTCGTTTCGTTATTATTTCCGCATGTCTGGGCCAGTTTTATGGTTTAATTAGTGAAAAAAAATTATAATATCACACCAACAGTCAACAACAGAGGGAGAGGGAAGCTTCAGAAGGTTTTGGAGGTTTTTTAGCGTATTTCGCGGTCGTCCGCCATTAACGAATCGATTCGTTATTGTTTCGGAAATCGATTCGTTAATTTTTTACCATTTACGAAATTTCGTAAATATCGAACTTTTAAAAAGGAAAATTTTGTAATTATTTTAAATATCGAAACAAAAAAACCCCCCAAATACAAATCGATTTTAGAAACAAATTTTTCCGTTGTTACCCAGGCCTAATATATATATATATATATATATATATATATATATATATATATATATATAATATATATCTTCCTCCAATATCACCCTTAAAAAAGGATGAGATAATCTTTAATTGTTCCATTTTCTTTCAGACAGCTGTTTTTAAGGTAATACATATTTCTAATATCCTTTTCTTTAATATGTGTGCTAGTTCGAATGACATTATCAATGCATCGTTGGAGCAAGGGATTTTTCCATCTAACCTGAAACAGGCTGTGGTTCGTCCACTTCTCAAAAAAGCTTCCCTTGACTCCACGGTGCTGAGTAATTATAGGCCAATCTCCAACCTCCCTTTTCTGGGTAAGGTGCTGGAGCGGGTGGTCGCCTCCCAGCTCCAGAGCTTTTTAGACGATACCAACTACCTAGATCAGTCACAGTCTGGTTTCAGGCCTGGTCATGGCACCGAGACAGCCTTGGTCGCCTTGGTGGATGACCTCCGCAGAGAGCTGGACAGGGGGAGTGTGACTCTGCTGGTTCTCTTGGACATCTCAGCGGCTTTCGATACCATCGATCATGGTATCCTTCTGGGTTGTCTCTCTGGGATGGGCCTTGGGGGCACGGTTTTGTCGTGGCTCCGGTCCTTCCTGGAGGGACGTACCCAGATGGTGAAGCTGGGAGACGCCTGCTCGGACCCCTGGCCTTTGACCTGTGGGGTCCCGCAAGGCTCTGTCTTGTCGCCCATGCTCTTCAACATCTACATGAAACCGCTGGGAGAGGTCATCCGGAGTTTTGGAGTTGGGTGCCATCTTTATGCGGATGATGCACAACTCTACTACTCCTTTCCACCTAACTCCAAGGAGGCTTCTCGGGTGCTGGACGAGTGCCTGGCCGCTGTGTCGATCTGGATGAGGAAGAACAAGCTGAAGATCAATCCCGACAAGACAGAGGTCCTCCTGGTCGATCGTAAACCGGATCGGGGTATAGGGTGGCAACCTGTGTTGGACGGGGTTACACTCCCCCTGAAGCCACAGGTCCGCAGTTTGGGTGTCCTCTTGGATTCTTCGCTTACACTTGAGGCTCAGGTGTCGGCGGCATCCGGGAGGGCCTTTGCACAACTGAGACTTGTGCGCCAGCTGCGACCGTACCTCGTGAAGGCAGATCTGGCCGGGGTGGTCCACGCCTTGGTCACCTCTAGAATGGATTACTGCAATGCGCTCTACGTGGGGCTGCCCTTGAAGACGGCTCGGAAACTTCAATTGGTCCAGCGGGCAGCAGCTAGGATGCTAACTGGAGCTCATTATCAAGAGAGGTCTACCCCTCTGTTTAAGGAGCTCCACTGGCTGCCATTTATTTTCCGAGCCCAATTCAAGGTGCAGGTGCTCACCTACAAAGCCCTGAACGGTTTGGGACCACCCTACCTGCGTGACCGCATCTCCATCTACGAACCCACACGCTCGCTCCGGTCATCTGGGGAGGCCCTGCTCGTGATCCCACCTACGTCGCAAGCGCGCTTGGTGGGGACGGGACAGGGCCTTCTCTGTGGCGGCCCCCCGACTTTGGAATGCCCTTCCAAAAGAGCTCCGTCAGGCCCCTACTCTAGCAGTTTTCAAAAGGAACCTAAAAACTTGGCTGTTCCGATGTGCCTTCGCAGATTAGGAATCCCCATCCCAAGTCCTAGATGCACTTTGGCACAACTAATGTGGCTGCACACCGCACTTTAATCCTACGTTCCTCCTGCCATCTCAGCACTTTTAACCCTGTACCCCACTGCGCTGGCCGAACCAGTTTTTAATAGTGTCTTGATGTTTTGTCATTGTGGTTACTTTGCTTAATTGTTTTGATTTGCTTTGTTTATTGTTGTGTTATGTTTTCTATTGTATTGTGTTTTGAGGCTTCGGCCCGTGTAAGCCGCATCGAGTCCTTCGGGAGATGCTAGCGGGGTACAAATAAAGTTAATAATATATATAATAATAATGAAAGCATTGACTATGGAGTCAATTGGAGCATTGACAATGGAGTCAATATTATTTATCGTGTCATCAGCAACCATACCGTCCACATGACCTTGGAGGTGTCTATGGACAACGCTGGCTCTTCGGCTTAGAAATGGAGATGAGCACCACACCCCAGAGTCAGACATGACTGGACTTAGTGTCAGGGGACTACCTTTACCTTTACCTTGACCAGTATCTGGCCACTTGGAGTGCCTCTGGTGTTGCTGCGAGAAGATCCTCCCTTGTGCATGTAGCAGGGCTCAGGTTGCATTGCAGCAGGTGGTCTGTAGTTTGCTCTTCTCCACAATCGCATGTCGTGGATTCCACTTTGTAGCCCCGTTTCTTAAGATTGGCTCTGCATCTCGTGGTGCCAGAGCGCAGTCCGTTCAGCACCTTCCAAGTTGCCCAGTTTTCTGTGTGCCCAGGGGGGAGTTTCTCATTGGGTATCAGCCATTGATTGAGGCTCTGGGTTTGAGCCTGCCACTTTTGGACTCTCGCTTGGTGAGGTGTTTCAGCCAGTGTCTCTGTAGATCTAAGAAAACTATTTCTTTATTTAAGTCATTGATGTGTTGGCTGATGCCCAAACAGGGGATGAGCTGGAGATGTCTCTGCCTTGGTCCTTTCACTATTGGCTGCTACTTCCCGGCGGATGTCAGGTGGTGCAATACCGGCTAAGCAGTGTAATTTCTCCAGTGGTGTAGGGTGCAGACACCCCGTGATAATGCGACATGTCTCATGAAGAGCCACATCCACTGTTTTACTGTGGTGAGATGTGTTCCACACTGGGCATGCATACTTAGCAGCAGAATAGCATAGCACAAGGGCGGAAGTCTTCACTGTGTCTGGTTGTGATCCCCAGGTTGTGCCTGTAAGCTTTCGTATGATATTGTTTCTAGCACCCACTTTTTGCTTGATGTTCAGGCAGTGCTTCTCGTAGGTCAGAGCACGGTCCAGAGTGACTCCCAGGTATTTGGGTGCGTTGCAATGCTCCAGTGGGATTCCTTCCCAGGTGATCCTCAGAGCTCGGGATGCTTGTCTGTTCTTGAGATGAAAAGCACATGTCTGTGTTTTACATGGATTAGAGATCAGCTGGTTTTCCCTGTAATAGGCAGTAAGAGCACCTAGAACACCTTGATGGAGTCAATGCTCCAATGCTATGGAGTCAATGGACTGGCAGCCGGGAAAGCTCCTACAACAAGGAACTCCTGTGTTTGCTGTAGGCAGCCCCAGTTACCAATCTTAGAACAAGTTGGGTGTTTTTTAATACCCTTAAAAAGGCAATGCTACACAGAACACATTACAGTAATCCATTTGGATAAGTACGGCTTCATCTACACCAGGAGTCCTCAAACTTTTTAAACAGAGGGCCAGGTCAGAGTCCCCCAAACTGTTGGAGGGCCGGATTATAATTTGAAAAAAAAAACAGGAAAGAATTTCTATGCACACTGCACATATCTTATTTGTAATGCAAAAAAAAAAACCCACTTAAAAACAATACAATAATTAAAACGAAGAACAATTTTAACAAATATAAACTTATTAGTATTTCAATGTGAAGTGTGGGTCTGCTTTTGGCTGAGGAGATAGGATTGTTGATGTTGCTGTTGTGTGCTTTCAAGTCATTTCAGACTTAGGTTGACCCTGAGTGAGGGCCGGTAAATTACCTTGGAGGGCCGTATCCGACCCTTGGGCCTTAGTTTGAGGACCCCTGATCTACACTGACATGTGGTTTGGAGGCAGAGAATGTGGCGATTAAATCATGTAAACTCCAAACATCTGCAGCAATATGCATTATTAAAGGATGGGATAAGCAAAATGGGGATAGTCCACATGGTGGCAGTGTTGATATAATAAAAAACAGTACATCAGAGTCAATAAACTTTATTCCTTGTGTGACAGTATCATGGGTGAGCTTATGATGGAGAAGGTCTAACGTAGGCCTGGGGAACAGGTGGCTCTCAAGATGTTGTAGAACTACAATTCTTCTCAGACCTAGATTGCATATGCTGTAAGTCAGTGAGTCCCAAACTGTGATCTTCTGATTTGAGCACTGAACTCTAACAATGGGATTGTTATGAAAATTGGAAATGGCTATATGACTTGTGATTATATGATTTGTTCTGTGTGACTATGTAATTTTAATTAATATCACTGTTTAACTGTTATGTAATAGGATTTTATATTGTTGGTTTACATTGTTGTTATTGATACTGTTGGCATTGAATTGTTGCCTGTGTTAGCCGCCCTGAGTCCCCCCTTGGGGGTGAGAAGGGCGGGATAGAAATGGTGTAAATAAATAATAAATAAATAGTTTGGACACCAAGAATTCCTAATTGTTGACCACACTGGCTAGTGTATCTGGAAGCTGAAGTTCCAAACATTTGGAGGACAAATGTTTGGGGACCATTGTTTTAGGTGCAATCCAGCAACAACTAGAAGTCACATATTTCTCTCCCCTTGCTTAATAAGTTCTGTAATAAAAATAGAGGGGACGCTAGAGAAGTTTCAAAGCCTCTAAGCATCAATCACCAGTGTTTCCATTAACAGCTAAAATGTGTGGGACAAGGAACCTGTTGATTGTTCCCAAGGCAATAATAGATGATGTGGAGAACATTTCTTTGCATACTTCATTGCTAACAGAATTTCAAAGCACATGCCTGCAATATTTAATAATAATAATAATAATAATAATAATAATAATAATAATAAGGAAGCTGATGAAACCATGGACCATATCCTCAGCTATTGCAAGAAAATCGCACAGATGGACTACAAACAAAGACACAATTCTGTGGCCCAAATAATTCACTAGAACGTATGTCACAAGTACCAACTGCCAGCAGCAAAGAATTGGTGGGATCATAAACCCGCAAAGGTCGTGGAAAATGAACTTGCAAAAATACTGTGGGACTTTCGAATCCAGACTGGCAAAGTTTTGGAACACAACACACCAGACATCATGATTGTGGAAAAGATAAAAGTCTGGATTATTGATGTCGCCATTCCAGGTGACAGTCGCATTGAGGAAAAACACATCTGCTATCAAGACCTCAAAATCGAACTACAAAGGCTCTGGCATCAACCAGGACAGGTGATCCCAGTGGTCATCAGCACACTGGGTGCCGTGACAAAAGATCTCAGCTAGCATTTGGAAACAATAAACATCGACAAAATCACGATCTGTCAACCGCAAAAGGCCACCTTACTTGGATCTGCGCACATCATTCGAAGATACATCACACAGTCCTAGACGCTTGGGAAGTGTTCGACTTGTGATTTTGTGATATGAAATCCAGCATATAGATCTCGTTTGCTGTGACATACAGTGCTTTTGTGTCAATAATAATAATAATAATAATAATAATAATAATAATAATAATCTTTATTTTTATTCTGCTCTATCTCCCCAAAGGGACTCAGGGTGGATTCCAAACATAAAAGGCAAACATTTAATGCCTGAATACAACAACAATACATCCATGCTAACAAAATTTAAAGAACCCAACATATAAACACAAATTATGACGTAACAACTAAAATTAAATAAAAAACACAGCCTGTTACAACACACATAAGATCAGAAGCATGTTCCCACACTTTTCCATCCAGCTATAGATCTTTGTCTTAGTGGATAAGCCAACCAGGAAGTGACACTTTCCTCCACCTATATGACAGGGGAAGTTCTTGAATGCTTCAAGGCCCATAGAAAAGAAACTGATGCTGAGAAATCCCACTTCTGTCGCCAATATGGGAGTTGAGTAACTGATTCAGGAAACATAGCATACTTGTGTGTCTCATTACCTTCATAAAGGTCTGTATTCATTAGGCCTGTGTGGTTTCGTTCGTTAATTCGTTAATAATTCGTTAATTTTACCATTTCCGAAGCGATATCGAAACATATTTCCAAACCCGGAAGGGTTTATAAATATCGAACCAGCAGCCCCCATAGTTTTAACGAGCCTCCGCTCGTTTCGTTAATGGGGTGGAGGCTGCTGGAGTGCTGGTGCATGGGAGCCAATCCGGCGCTCCCAAGCAGTGCACCATGGGTCCGTGGCTGTCTCTTTTTGATTGGCCGGCGAGCCCTTTCAAAGCGGCTCCGCGCGGCCCGTAGCTTGCTGCAGAGGGCGAGGGAGTTTGCATTGGGTTGGCTTGGCAATGGCTGCCTGCTAGCAACTGGGATTGGATTCATTCCTTGCTGCTGTGAGTGCTGCTTGCTTCATTTGCTGTCTCTTGCCTGTGTTTGGTCCACATTTGGGCCATTTTTTGGTTAATTTTCCATTTTAAAATATTTTTAATATTATTTTTTAATATTATTTTTTAATATTTATTTTTAATATTATTTTTTAATATTATTCTTAAAAAATATTCTAAAAAAGAAAAGACTCTTCTGTTGGTGTGTGCTCTCATTTGCTGTATCCTGCCTGTGTTTGGGCCATTTTTTGGTTAATTTTCCATTTTAAAATATTTTTTAATATTTTTTTAATATTATTTTAATATTATTTTTTAATATTATTTTAATATTATTCTTAAAAAATATTCTAAAAAAGAAAAGACTCTTCTGTTGGTGTTTGCTCTCATTTGCTGTATCCTGCCTGTGTTTGGTCCACATTTGGGCCATTTTTTGGTTAATTTTCCATTTTAAAATATTTTTAATATTATTTTTAAAATTATTTTTTAATATTATTTTAATATTATTCTTAAAAAATATTCTAAAAAAGAAAAGACTCTTCTGTTGGTGTGTGCTCTCATTTGCTGTATCCTGCCTGTGTTTGGTCCACATTTGGGCCATTTTTTGGTTAATTTTCCATTTTAAAATATTTTTTAATATTATTTTAATATTATTCTTAAGAAATAACAAAAATATTCTAAAAATTCGTTAATATTTACAAAATTTCTTAAATACCAAAACTTTTTTTTGGAAAGTTTTGTAATTATTTTAAATATCGAAACAAAAAAACACCCCAATTACAAATCGATTTTAGAACCAAATTTTTTCTTGATCAAACAGGCCTATATTCATCTATCAAAATCTGCAATGTTAATTGTGCAAGATAATTCGAGGAAATTGTTTTACTGGTATTGTTGAGTGGGAAACAAATTAAAAAAGAGACTATAAAACTGTTTTCCAGAACACATTGATGAAAGGACTGTTTGCAACACAGTTGCCCCTGAAAAAGATGTGGATGGATTCCATATTTACAACATTGGCCGACTGTGTCTTGACCAGCCTTCTGTTATACCTGCCACTGCTGCTGCTGTTTGGGAAATAATAAAGAGGACAGGTAACTAAACCAAACATTTTAAGACACTGAAGGATGCACGCATTCTGGAAAATATTTCAAGGAAGTGATGTGTCAATGTGTTATGGCTGATAGGAGAGATAATACTAAGAGTGATACTTTGTTTGAGACAGAAACATATGTTTTATTTTCCGCTGAGACCCTGGCATGGAATCTCCTCCAAAAGCAAACCAGAGTGAGGATACAGGCGTTGACTTTCCCTTTTATACATCTTCATTTTTTAAGGTTTTTTTATTAACCACAAAGAAAATGCTATATACATACAAAGAGGTGGAACAATATAGTGAAAGAAAAGTAGGAAATAAAGATGTATAAGTCTTAACAAAAACTACTTCATTCTTTTCTTTAAGCCAGATTCTTTACAGCGATGCAACTTGTTCTCCTCTTTTTTTCTAAACACCTAATAATTTGTATTGCATTTATATACATTTCATTACAAAAACAATCTCTATAATTCATATAATTACTTTTTTTTCCTTTCCCCAGTTGTGCTACCCCTTGTGCTCCCCATCTCCGGAGTTCTTCTTTTCTTTATACTCCCACCAGAACCTCATTTCTTCTGGTGGGGGTTGGTTCCCATCTTCTTTCCTTAATGTTTCCTCAATAAATATTTTCCATATATTTTCAAAATCATTATTCTTCCTTAGGACTTTTTTAACCTTTAAATTGCATGTTAATTTGTCATTTATTGCTAATTTCCAAATTTCTTTGTACCATTCTTCTATCTTAATTTCCACCTCTCCTTTCCAATATTTTGCTATTAGTAGCCTTGCAGCCGTTAACAACATTGTTATCAGATTCTTTTCATTTTCCTTCCATTCATCTTTATTGTAAATAGATTACAGTACAGTCGCTGGATTTATATTAATTTTTTTTCTTCATAACACTTTCTATTTCTACTATAACTTTTCCCCAGAAAATCTGTACAGATTTGCATTTCCACCACATGTGGATATTAGGGCTGGGTAACAACAGAAAAATTTGTTTCTAAACTCGTTTCATTTTTAGGGGGTCCATTGCGTTTCGTTTTTTAAAAGAATTCCAAATTTTTCTTTAAATTTTTTTCGTTATTTACGAAATTTCGTAAATTTCGAATTGATTCGTTAATGGCGGACGCGATTGCGCAATACGCTAAAAAAAAACCTCCAAATGGGACAGGGGGAACTTCTGAAGCTTCCCTCTCCCTCTGTTGTTGACTGTTGGTGTGATAATTATATTTTTTTATCACTGATAAAACAAACAACTATAAAACTTGCACCAGACATACGGAAATAATAACGAAATAATAACGAAACAATTTCAAAACAATTTAAACAATTTGAAACAATAAATACGAAACAATTACGAAAATAAATTTTTAAAAATTCGTTTCGATTTTTAGTTCCTTGCTATGAGTTAGGTTCGCTCCTCTCCTCTGCGTGCGCTCAGATCTGATCGTAGCTTATTTTTAACAAAACTACGAATCAATAACATTACGAAATTTAAACAATGAAAACCGACCCCAACCCCCAACCCTCCCCAGTGTAAACCCACCCCCAAAACACCGCCCCAGGGGCCCTAGTGGATATATATAACTAAGGAAGTAACCCGCCCACCACCAAAAAAAACCCTCCACTAAATGAACCTTCTTGACATTATATGCTCCAAAAACATTTTTTTTCTTTCTCTGAACAACCTATTTCTGCAATGTCTTGGCATGTTCAGGTACCATGTTCCATATAATACCGTCCCTTAATAGTATTTTTTTTATCCCGAAGGACCGCCTTCCTTGGGGTGTTCTCTTGGATGCAAACACATTTCCATACATCTTATAGTAGTTTTCTTTTATCCTAATTGATAAATTCTTGAGGTGTCTTGCTCTCCATAATTTTTCCCAATTCCTTTCTCCTATTTTTATTCCCAGTTCTTCTTCCCATAGTTCCCTTATTTGTATCCCTTTTCTCTCCCCTTTAATCTCTATTAATATTTTGTATATAATACTGGTTATCCCTTTTTGATGCTCCCCTTTTATACATCTTCAAATGCAGGCAAACAAAGAAAAATGCTTCTACATATGTAACATCATCACTACATCACCTTTGCATTATAGAAATATCAATTTATTTATTTCTTTATGCAAGGGGCATGTCTCCATATTTTTTTCTAAAGAGCAGATTAGGATTCAGCTAACACAGATCCATCAAGGGGCCTATTTTGACCTGTATATTTTTTTCTAAAGAGCAGATTAGGATTCAGCTAACACAGATCCATCAAGGGGCCTATTTTGACCTGTCAGGAGGGAGGGACTCCTTACTTTTAGAAGTAAGAAGGTATGGCCTGTACTAAGCTATACTAGATCTCTGGGATGTATAGATAACAGCCCCCCCTTCTCCTCCCCCTTTCAATACATCCTTTTGTCCTGTCAGCTTGCCTTCCTAAAACAGAGAGAACCTGATTTTTCTACATTTCAGTGCTTCTAATGTACATATAATATATGTATAAATATCTATATTTCCAATATGTCCACATCAAATGTTACATATATGGTCTGTTTTAAACGTTAAATGTGCACAGTTAGGAGCATTTCTACACCAAAACCATTTAGTGTGACAGAGGCATTGCTGTTCCAGAGTCATCTAAAAGCAGAATTCTGGATCTGCACTATATGTAATATATTGTATATATGGGTTGTTGTAGGTTTTTTCGGGCTATGTGGCCATGTTCTAGAGGCATTCTCTCTTGACGTTTTGCCTGCATCTATGGGAAGCATAGATGCATAGACCTCACAACCTCTGAGGATGCTTGCCATAGATTCAGGCGAAACATCAGGAGAAAATGCCTCTAGAACATGGCCATATAGCCCGAAAAAAGCGACAACAACCCAGTGATTCCGGCCATGAAAGCTTTCGACAATATATTGTATATATTCTCATATAAGTCAACCTTATGTATAAGCCAAGGGCAGGTTTGGGAGGAAAATTGGATTTTGATATGATCTGTGAATAAGTCAAAGGTCATTTTGTAGAGAAGTAAAAGTGCCAAGGAGTCAGTTACCTTTGGATGTCTAGGCATCAAGTAGACAAGGAGTAGCACTGTGGTGGAGAGAATATAGATCGCCGTTGTTTCTCTTAGATTCTCCTGGGATGGACAACTTTCACCACGCTACTTAGAGAGGGGAATGACACTCTTTTTATAAGGGTTACAGTACAATACTTACATTGACTCTAGGATAAGATGACCCAGGTTTTTAGAACGAATTTCTTGACTAGAATGTCAACAGGGGCAGTTCTTGAAGGAGTATATAAGTATTGTTTTATCATCAGTGCTGTCCTCATTATATCAAGAGATGTTCCGTCTTCCAGGTGCTTGGTTTGCATTGCCCCTTAGTTGCATGAAATAGCATCCTTTTGCATTTCCCCCAGGGTTGCTACAGTCTCAGCAGCACCCTGAAAGTTAACCATTAACAGGGGCTTAAAGCCAGCCTGCAAAGCCTTTTGCTGTTATTGGCTTAAAAAGTATCTCTTTGGTCCAGAGACCGCCCTTTTTCCTGGGGATGAGATCTCCATTTTGGAGAAGCTCTCATGCCTTCTTCAGTTTAGAAAAAGCCTCAGATGTGCTTGTGGTCAAGCTAGGCAGCTCGGACAGGCCATCGTGAGTACTTACCCTCTTGCCTTTGAAACTGGTGTTGAGCTTAGATAGGGGAAGACCTGTTCTTTCTAAAAATAGCAGCTCAGCACTAGGAGAGAGAATATCCCAGGATTTCTCTGCCATTGGGAGAGGCTCTATTACTTCATCCCCAAGCTGGCTTTGAGCTTAGATAGGGAAAGACCTGCTCTTTCTTATAATAGCAGCTCAGGGCTAGGGTAAAGAATCCCAGGATTTTTCTACCATTGGGGGAAATTAACTCAGCAGCTGAAGGAAAAAGGAAGGAAAAAACATCTACATGATTTCACAAGTTGACTGTTTGTGTTTGTAACTTCAACAAGCTGTGCCAAGTCTGCCAAGGACTTTGAGAAATAAATATTCTGTTTGATGTTCAAATCTGGAGTGGCCTCAGTTGCTGGGAATCCTAAGCTTCTAAGTAAGGCACTCGCAGTTCACCCGGATAAAGAGAGAAGCACATCTTAGTTTTAACTTTATAGTGTCTGGGTGTGACGGCATAAGAGAGACTGAGTGGGAAACGTTTTTTTAAAAAAAATCCTATAGGGCATAAAAAGATATTATTTCCTTTTCATTTTTTAGTTTGCAATTGCACTCCTAAAAACTGCACAAAATGTTTAGCAAGTAGGAAGGAAGAGGGGATCTCACAGATCTTTCCCTGAAAGCTTCATGGTAGTGTAGCAATCTGAACCACTTATTTTACAATAGAAAATTTTCTGTCTATGAAAAGATGGTTTTTGGGTTTTGGTCCCTTGAAAGGATTGAGAGTAGAGTCAGGAGATACATTATGTCCAGAAAGACATAATGTAAACCTTAGTGGTCACTCCTACAAGGATGCCAGCACCAAACCCTAAAGTTGATTATAGGATAAAGAGAGCATGAGAGAAAGTATGGCCTGTAGGGGTCCTTCTACACATGCACTAAACCCCGGAAGAAACCATGATAAAGAGGTGTGTGGTGTGGTTAAATGACGTTTTGTGAAAGTGCAGGCTGAATCGGGTTAACAGATGAAAATCATGTGTTTAAAAGTTGTGCTTAAAACCTAATTCTGGCCAAAAAGAAGTGCATATTTACATGACTGTATATCCCTGCAGTAATGGAAAACACAAGACTTCCTTCCTTTACCCATTGTGGACTGCTCCAGTGTATGTGCATGCTTTTAAACCACAAAATAGTGGAAATCAGGACTGTTAAAAATGGAGCCATGGACACATAAGTGGCTAAATAGAAGCACAAATGGAAAGCAATTACAATTAGAACTCTCTGCAACCATTCCTTTGTTCTGATCTTCATGATATTAAACAGAGCTTACATTTATAGTTGGGTTAGGAGAGATAAGAAATCTGCTTGTGTGTACATTAAGATATCAACATGAGCGCGTATACATCCAATGCATCTTGGAGAGATGTCTTTACAAGTCCATCTTGCAGACTTCTAAAATCCATTACAAGGAAGGTGTCAGGACAGTGGGGGACCATTTCCCAGAACTGACAAGTCTGTGTCTGGACTTGCTATCTGGTCCCATGGTTTTTAAACCGACTTATTTCATCCAAATTTTGACGCTATCTGGAAGTGCCCTAGAATGGGAACTAGCAGTATTATACTGGGCTGCTTGGTTTACTTGAAAGACCTTGAGCAGCGCAATGCTGGTGATGCACTAGACACCCTCACTTTTTTTTAATTGGTTTTATTTCTTGAATGCCATGTGTTACAAAGGGTTTCCCCTCAAAAAAGCACCACCAAGAGAGGAGGGATCTGGACTGACCTCCTTTACAAAATCCATTAACTTTCCATTCAGCAGGCAGCATAGAACTCTCACCTCATAGAAGGCCTTATCCCTTGTAGAAGATGAGACACGATTCCAGCTGGTTCTAAAGCATTCCGCTCCTTTTGAAAAATGGAATGATGTGGGATGGGAAAAAAAAATAAGAGGCCCGTCTTCTTAAGACACAGTCACATTTTATATACTATAAATAATCCGTTGTTGGGCTCTGCTATGGAGGTTTTTTTTTTTTACAGAGATCTCATGGCTAGTCTTAAGATGTAAGCAGACTGTTCATTTCCCCCTTCCTCTTTCTCCACCAAAAATGGGTAATTTAAAAAGATTATAGCATGTTTACTTCTGTCTCCCTCAACTGTTCTTAATAAAAGTAAGCTCTACCCAGTTAGCAAACAGAAAGGATATGATGTTCTTTGAAAAGTGAGGGTATCTTCTAAGTTAAGACCATATGGAATTATTTACGGATGTTCTTCCCCCTTGCTGCCTCAGATGTTATTGAGTGGTATTTCTGTTTCAATCACTTCTGGAAAAGGCAACTTAAATGATTTTGAGTGGAACAGAATGTTTTGCGATAATATATCAATATTTCTCTTTTCCGCCTCCTCCCTTACAACGGCCTCCTCCCTTTCGAGCCCACATGGTCCTTAAGATCTTCCAGGGATGCTCTTCTCTCGCTCCCACCCCCGTTGGTGGGGATGAGAGAGAGGGTATTCTCGGTAGTGGCCCCCCATCTCTGGAACTCCCTCCCCAGAGAGAGATTAGGCTGGCACCCTCCCTAGCCACTAGGCTTGGTTGATCAAGAAAAAAATGGTTCTAAACTCGTTTTGTATATAGGGGGTGCTGGCGTTTCGATTTTAAAATTATTTCTGAACTTTTCTTGAAAAAAAAGATCGAAAATAGCAAAAATCTGAATAGCTTCGTTTACTTCGTTAGTGGAAGGTGTCCCTCCCCCCGTTAGTTTAAAATCTCGCAGTTTCCCTTCCCTGGGTGACTGCGAACGGCGATGTAGATAGGCTCTAAAAATCAAAATGGATAAAGTCCATCATGATATCATACTTTGAACATTTGAGACAACATGGCTCATTCGAAAAGACAATAATGCTTGATAACGAAGAAAACAATGGGAAAAGAGGAACACCATACTATAGATATACATTTATTTAATCAAGGAAGCCAAAGTACAAAATTTGCAAAGCCTTAGAAGAGCTGTTAATGACTAGAGATCTTGGAGGCCTCTCATTCATAGTGGGCATGATCTTCAGGAACAGCTTTTCTTACCCATGCCCACATCTCGCAGTTTCCCTGGCCTCCCTGGCAACAAGCAGCAATGCGGAGGGGCGAGGTGGGCGTGGGTAAGCCCAGCTCTTCCTGAAGGCCACGCCCCCAGTGGCCACCAAGAAGAGCTGGCCGTAGCCACGCCCACCTCATTCCCCTGCCATCCATCGCCATTCGCAGTCACCCAGGGAAGGGAAACTGCGATATTTTAAAACTAATCTCGCAGTTTCCCTTCCCTAGGCAACTGCGAACGGCGATGGATGGCAGGGGAATGAGGTGGGCGTGGCTAAGAGCAGCTCTTCCTGAAGGCCACGTTCCCAGTGGCCTTCAGGAACACCTGTTCTTACCCACGTCCCACCTCGTCCCTATTTGCATCGGCGGCTTTGCACACCCGGCGATGCAAATAGCGACGAGGTGGGACGTGGCCTTCAGGAAGAGCCACGCCCACCTCACCCTTCCACTTTGCCGCTTGTCGCCAGGGGGGCCAGGGAAACTGCGAGATTGTAAAACTTGCACCAGGCATCTGAAAATAGTTCCGAAAAATGGGTAAATTGTTTCAATTCATAATTACTCCTCACACTATTCCAGCATGGCTCGAAATTGTTTCAAAAGTCAATTCAATCTGAATTAATTCTGATTTTAGAAGCTTTCGAACAAAATCGACCAAGCCTACTAGCCACATTCCGCAAGGAACGTGGATGTTTCGTCGTGCTTTTGATTGGTGACCCCTATGACAAACGACCTGTATTGTGACTTGAATCATCATTTAATCTGATTTCCTATATTACATTAACTGAATCGACTCTGATCCTGTTAATTTGCTCTGCTTTCATGATATTTCCTATGCTATTATACACCGCTATCCACCTTATTGAACCACCTTATCCTTTAACCAGCTTGCATAGTGGTCCTCTCCCCCCTCTCCAAAATTAGTCTGCAGTTACTGTTGGTGCTTGCTATTATTGTTACGCTGTTTTATGCTGTTTTGTGCTGTCTTAATGGCTATTACTTTGTCTTAATTGTATTCTGCCTTGGGCTTGGTCCCATGTAAGCCGCCCCAAGTCCCTTCGGGGAGATGGAGGCAGAGTAGAAAAATAAACTACTTCTTCTTCTTCTTCTTCTTCTTCTTCTTCTTCTTCTTCTTCTTCTTCTTCTTCTTCTTCTTCTTCTTCTTCTTCTCCTCCTCCTCCTCCTCCTCCTCCTCCTCCTCCTCCTTCATATTGTAATAATGGTAATCCCTCATTGTTAAAGTCAAATAAGAGAGAAGAATCCGAGCACTTATAATGCCATTCTATTATTTCCACATTGGAAAGAAAATAATTTCCAAAACTGAAAGACAACCCCCCCCCCCTCTATTTTATTCACATGAATGTTTATGGAGATTGGTTATTTTTTTGCTTGTTCTCTAAGGTATACCAACATTTGGAAGAAATGTTGTCGTAGCTGGAAGATCAAAGAATGTTGGAATGCCGATTTCAATGCTTTTGCATACCGATGGAGGACATGAAAGGCCTGGAGGTAGGTTGATGCATATTCTAATTGGTTCTGTTGCAATCCTCAATACAGAGGAAAGGGGGGAAGCAAAGAAAGGTTAAATAGTTTTTATTGCCTTCATTTACAGCAGGATTTAAAATCAACTGAAACTTGTTCAGTTAGATAGAAATCAGGATTCCTGTTATTGTTATTGGAAAATAAAATGTACTTGGTTATTAGACATTCCATTTCGTTTTAAGTATTTCACTATTTGAGAGTCACAGGATGTGATGCTCTGTTATTTTGACTGGATCCAAATATATTTTAAATTTTGACAACTTTTCATTGTCCATTTTTTACAAAATAGAAGTATGAAGTATGAAAAAGGACAAGATGTCATTCAGCCTGATTTTTCATTTTTCTACTTGAATCTGTTTTCTTCATTTACCTATACTACATACTACCACACTCACAAATTGTGTATTCTGTCTGTTTGCTTTGTTCTGTTAGAAATGTAATATAATATGACTGGTTGTCCTGACACGACAAATAAACAAATAAATAAATTTACCTATTTAGCATTAATTGTGATGACTGTGTTGACAGGTGATGCTACAGTGACAATTACTCACAGATATACACCAAAAGATCAGCTGAAGATCCATACGCAGCTTGCTGATATTATAATTGTTGCAGCAGGTAATATAGTTTTCTTTCTTTCTTTATTTTATTTTATTATTTATTTAGAAGTTTTATATACCGGTCTTCTCACCTCCAAGGAGGGACTCAGGCCGGTTCACAACATGTGTCCATATACAATAATATACAAAAACAACACAATGCATCATAATTACAGGTCAAAATATAAGTACAATAAAAACATTATCATCACATTATACAAGCCAAGTCGCCAGTACAATCACAGTCACAGTTCATCATCCTCCTTCCATGTGGACAAAAGTTATTGACTCAATCCTCAAATGCCACATTCTAAAGCCAGGTCTTTGTTAGTTTCCTGAAGGTCAGGAGGGAGGGAGGAGCTCTAATCTCTAGTGGGTGGGAGTTCCAAAGCTGAGGAACCACCACCAAGAAGACCCTGTCCTCATTCCCACCAAACGCGATTGTGAAGGTGGTCAGACCGAGAGCAGCCCCCCCCCCCCCCCCCCCCCCGGAAGATCTTAAGAGCCTTGATGGTTCATAGGGGAGAATCCGTTCGGATAGGTAAACTGGGCCGGAGTCGTTTTTTGCGGAGTCGTTTTTTGCAGCTTTTGCAGTGTTTAGCATGTATTAAAATCCAGATAGTATAGATTTGAAGGTCAATATTGTGTTATTTTAGCCCACTCTTTTAACTGAAACAAAATGTTATGCTAGGCGCAGGTGAAAACTGCATAAAATTTAATATATTTTTGGTGATCTGACACCTCCCAGATGTATGAGAGTAGGTCCTAGGACCTAGTCTCAAGCTATACTGGCTGTGGATAGTAGTAGTGTCAGGTTTATTATTATTTTATTATTATTTTTTATGGCATTTCTATGCCGCCCTTCTCACCCCGAAGGGGACTCAGAGGTTATACTGGCTGTGGATAGTAGTAGCGATTAGGGCTGTGCATGGTGCTGTTTTTCAGATCCAGCAACCAAATGTCCAGAAATGGGGCAGGCCACAGGGCTCAAATTAACTGAGATTTTGCAAACACGCCCAAACATGAATCAAGGAATATAAAAGGCACTGCAGACTACTTCAACCAGAGAAATCAGCCATAGCAGAGCACCTGATGAACCAACCTGGACACAGCATATTGTTTGAGAACACAGAAATGCTGGACCACTCTCACAACCACTATGTCAGACTACACAGAGAAGCCATTGAAATACACAAGCATGTGGACAATTTCAACAGAAAGGAGGAAAGCATGAAAATGAACAAAATCTGGCTACCAGTATTAAAAAATTCTAAAATTGCAACAGCAAAAACAGCAGAGAGAAAAACAGGCAGGGACATCTAATCACTTTTCAAGAAGAGTTTGCCCCAGGCACAGTCAGCCCATTGTATGCTAATCAAGGTGGTAAGTTGAAAGATTCACACCTAGCCCAACTTACAAAAGCCCTTTGTCTCACCCTGGTCATTCCACAGGTGAAATTATCCCTTTTTTCCCAGTTCCAGCAGACCTCACCTCTGAGGATGCTTGCCATAGATGCAGGCGAAACGTCAGGAGAAATGCCTCTAGAACATGGCCATATAGCCCGAAAAAACCCACAAGAACTGAACTGGTTGATTGATTAAGGTATATAGGCATGTACACATCAAAAATATTGTTACCTGATTATATCTGCCACAATTTGCTTTTCTGTTATGTACCATAACCAAAATAAACAGTTTTATTTATTTAAAAAAGCAAAGAAGTTCCACTGAATGTAAAATGCTTCACTTCAATTCACACTTTTGATTTGCATATGTTAGTAGTACCTATTTGTGGATTTAAATCAAAGTTGCAAATCATATGGTCCTCCAGATATCATCAAACTGCATTCACCAGCAGTCTTAGCCAGTATAGCCCATGGTGAGGAATTCCTGGCAACATTTAAAGGAACATACAATTCCAGCCCTAATCTAAATAAAGTACTTAGTGCGCAATGTACAAAGTTGTGAGGTCAAGACAGTTCCTCAGGCTAATAGTGAACATATCATTCATTCCTGTAGAAGGCAATGCGTGGAGCTTCTAAGACAGGGCAGGACCTTGAGGACAGTAACTTCCAAGTCAATTTTTGGTCATCTCTGATTTTACACAAACACTTTTGTCATATTTAGACTTGCAGTTTTAGGTGTTTTAGGTCACTTGTGAAATTATCTGTATGTGAGATTCTTAGCTATCCTAAGCTTTTATGAAGATGGCCTAAATGTATGCAACAAATGAATCAATTGATTTAATTTGAGGATTTCATGTACTGTATGAGTATAAAAAGTATCAATCTTAAAATTATAGTCAAAAAATCACACACACACCCCAAAAAACCCTGGATTGCTATATCCATATATAAGTGTGAGAACTGTTGCTTAACTGTTCCCCCAAAAAGGAAGCATTCTCTTTTCTGAGTAGAGTGGCAAAAGGGAAGAGCTTCATCCATCCCATAAGTACTTAAAAGAAGCCCCAACCCAATATTCTCTAGTAGAGTTCACCTATGACATGTTATATTTTCTCCTTTCTGTGGAATAATCCTTCACTTTTCCACAAGTCGTATCAGAGACCATAATATTGACCCCAAACCTGCTCTTGACTTATATGTAAAGTTGATTTATGCATAAGTATATACAATATATTTAGAGTGTTGTATTTCTCATCATCAGCCTTGATTGTATATGTTGGTGTTGTTGTTGCTGTAATTGTCATCTTAAATCTTCCCTCAAATTTCAATTAGATTATTTTTATATTAGAATTGATTATTCGTAACATATATTTAATCAATTCTAATATAAAAAAAATGTCAGCCCTAGCTTCTGCCAACCTAGCAGTTTGAAAACATGCAAATGTGAGTAGATCAATAAGTACCGCTCTGGCGGGAAGGTAACGGCGCTCCATGCAGTCATGCCAGCCACATTACCTTGGAGGTGTCTACGCACAACGCTGGCTCTTCGGCTTAGAAATGGAGATGAGCACCACACCCCAGAGTCAGACATGACTGGACTTAATGTCAGGGGACTACCTTTACCTTTACCTAACATATATTTAATTAGAGAGAAAGGATTAGGAATTAAAAACATGGATGTTTCATTGTGCATTTGACTGATGACCCCATGACATACGACCGGTATTGCAACCTAATTATCATTCCACCTGAATTTCCTATATTACATTACTATTCAAATTTTATAAGTCATACTGAATTATTTCTGATCCTGTTAGATTGCTCTGTTTTCATAATACTCCCTATGCTATTATACATTTTCATCCACCTTTTTGAACCAATTACTCTTTAATCAGCTCGTATTTTTGGCCTCACCCCCCCCCCTTAATTCTTTTGTTGCTTGATGCTTGTCTATTATTATTATGTTTGTTTGAGGTTTTTAAATTGAATTTTGTTGTTGCTCTGCTTTTAATTGTATGTTCCCTGGGCTTGGCCCCATGTAAGCCGTCCCGAGTGCCTTCGTGGAGATTTATTTTATTTATCGTGTCATCAGCAACCATACCATTGTATTACATTTCTAACAGAAAAAACCAACAAACATAAAAAAACACTGATTTTGCAAACTTGGTAGTTGATTAAATGTCTTTTGACCAGTATCTGGCCACTTGGAGTGCCTCTGGTGTTGCCGAAAGAAGGTCCTCCATTGTGCATGTGGCAGGGCTCAGGTTGCATTGCAGCAGGTGGTCAGTGGTTTGCTCTTCTCCACACTCGCATGTCGTGGATTCCACTTTGTAGGCCCCATTTCTTAAGATTGGCTCTGCATCTCATGGTGCCAGAGCACAGTCTGTTCAGCGCCTTCCAAGTCGCCCAGTCTTCTGTGTGCCCAGGGGGGAGTCTCTCATTTGGTATCACCCACGGATTGAGGTGCTGGGTTTGGGCCTGCCACTTTTGGACTCTCGCTTGCTGAGGTGTTCCAGCGAGTGTCTCTGTAGATCTTAGAAAACTATTTCTTGATTTAAGTCATTGATGTGCTGGCTGATACCCAAACAAGGGATGAGCTGGAGATGTCACTGCCTTGGTCCTTTCACTATTGGCTGCTACTTCCTGGTGGATGTCAGGTGGTGCAATACCGGCTAAGCAGTGTAATTTCTCCAGTGGTGTAGGGCGCAGACACCCTGTGATAATGCAGCATGTCTCATTAAGATCCACATCCACTGTTTTAGTGTGGTGAGATGTGTTCCACACTGGGCATGCATACTCAGCAGCATAGTAGCATAGCGCAAGGGCAGATGTCTTCACTGAGTCTGATTGTGATCCCCAGGTTGTTCCAGTCAGCTTTCGTATGATATTGTTTCTAGCACCCACTTTTTGCTTGATATTCAGGCAGTTCTTCTTGTTGGTCAGAGCACGGTCCAGAGTGACTCCCAGGTATTTGGGTGTGCTGCAATGCTCCAGTGGGATTCCTTCCCAGTGGAGATGGAAGCAGGGTAGAAAAATAAAATTTTTTGTCTTCGTCATCTTCTTCTTCTTCTTCTTCTTCTTCTTCTTCTTCTTCTTCTTCTTCTTCTTCTTCTTCTTCTTCTTCTTCTTCTTCTTCTTCTTCTTCTTCTTCTTCATGCCCAGTGTGTACTGCCTATTCTCTTTTTGTTGTAAAAGTCACAGAATAAAAAGTATGTATATTTATATGCCTGCCTAAAAATCTATATTTTAATATACAGCAGGTTGAGTTAATTCTGCAAGAGATTTTGTTTAAATCTTTTTTGTGGGGAAAATGAAGCATGTTTTAAAGTGTGGATTTGTCATTCATACAATGTCTATCAATATCTTTAGAACCTGCCTTTGAAAAAGGTCATCCTCAAATGCTTTTATTGTTTAATTGCTCCTTGGTATTCACAGAATTTTTGGCATGCAAATATAATTATAGGGCCGTTCAGTACTGCAAATGCCAACGTTTACTAGCGATATTTCTCTAGCACAACTATATAACTGTTCTTGCCCTTTCCTCCAGAAATCTCGTTCTTTTACATAACTCACTGTAATGGTCATAGTAGTGTTGGCCTTCCTTCGGTTTCTGCTATCCCCAAACCTACCCAATTCCTCAGACCTGCAACTCATGATCTAGCTTTGGTGGTCCCAATGTAGTAGTCATCACAGTGGAAAAAGAAATAAAGCTTCTAATCCATTAATTATCATCCATTGTGTATTTTGCTTTCTCTTCCCAAATTCTCATATACTCTTGGGAAACCTTTTTAATAGCCTCTTTTATTGAAAGAAGACTGCCAAATTATTTCTGCCACTCAGAAAGCCATTAAGACGTGTACTGAATTCTAAAACATGAAGGTGATCATTATACAAGTTGTTTCATTTTCTGTACACAAGTTACTTGTGTCTGGACTAGGCAGTCCTGTTGGACTTAAAGAAGGGCATGAAGAGGTAGTGCCCACAATAATGGTCTTAAGCAAATATTTTGAGTTGTGGCAGTTCAGAACACTAAGCAAGTCTGGCTTTGTAGTTGCATGAGTTGATCTCCCATAGTGAGACAATGTAGAATATATTCTTTTTTTTAATAGTTTTTATTAAGTTTTCAAAAGTACAATATTAAAATCACAAATATTAAGTTAGGAGAGAAAAAGAAAAAAGAAAAACAAGTGAACAAACAAACAAAGAACACACACACACAAGTAACAGCTTACAAAAGACAACAGCCAAGATAGATGACAACAAGTGAATTGTTAAAACTTCCACTCTTCTCTGTCATGATATTTTACAAATACACTTAATCCGTTCTTCTGAGTTTTTCCTATTCCTATTTGCGAGCGTCAGTAGTTTCCTATTTCTTTCCTTTTTTCTTCTGTTCTTCTGATCTTTTACTTCTTCTTTTATCTACATTCCTCCTTCCCTACTTCTTCCGATTTTTCCTTCATTTCTTTCTTTCCCCTCACTCTTCTCTTTTCTTCCTCTTTTTTTTCTTGTTCCTCATATTACTTTGAATTGTTGTTGATCTAATTTCTCTTCCTATTTAGTCTGGTCATATCAATATCTTGACCTTGTTTTCCTTTAACCACTCTTTAACGGGATTCCAGTCTGTTGCTCTGATGGGTGTGTTTCGTGTACAAGCCAATATATATGTTAGGTGGTCCAAGTTCATAATGTCCAGTACCTTTTCCATCCATTCTTCCTTTGTTGGTATTTTGTTTTGTCTCCATACTCTCGCCAGAAGGATGCGGGCAGCTGTTATTAGATAAGTAAATAGTTTATCTGTGTTCTTGTCCCATTTCTTTGTGGTTAGTCCTAATAGATAACATTCTGGTTTGAGAGGGATGTCACTTTTCAGTATTTTCTATATTGCTTCCTGTATTATTTTCCAGATAGATTTCACCTTCTCACAGGACCACCACATATGATGGAAGGTGCCCTCCTTAGTTCCACATTTCCAACAATTTTTGCATATATTTTTGAGAACTTTGCCAGCTTACTTGGTGTTAAGTACCACTGATGAGTCATTTTCATCCAATGTTTTCATCCAACGCTCTCCCTAGGGCTGAGAGCGGCGGTCAACAAATGCATTAAATAATAAATAAATAAATAATAAATAATAATGTTCTCTTAAATCATATGAGTAGGAGTAGTTAGTTTTCTTATTCCATATTAGATTCCACTTCTCCAATGAGATAGATCTTCCTATGATTCTTGCCCATTTTATCATATACTCTTTAATGCGTTCTTCTTCTTTAGCCCACTCTAATAGGAATTTGTAAGTTTTTGTTATGTAGAATATATTCTTGATTACTTGCAAAGTCCATATTGGTTCATTTCCCTATGCCAATAAATGCAAAATTATTTATTACTTTTTGTTTCTTTGTTTTAAATAATGAACCCCTTTAATAGATTACATTCTCCTTCTGAAACATTTCTCAGTTTTGGTATCCTGGGAGACTATAGTTTGGAGTGTCTAAGGAGCCTTGATTCACATCTGGGAGTCCTAACTAAATTGGTCGTTGTAGGTATTCCAAAGCTGATTACTTCTGATATGGTTAAAGAAGGAGCAGCAGTGATTGATGTTGGTATCAACCACATCCAAGATCCTGTCACAGGAAAGACCAAGTTAGTTGGGGATGTGGACTTTGAAGGTAAGCAAAATGCCTATACTCACAGAACTGTTAAATAAATGTTGTATAGCTGTTTTGGAGTTGGGAGAAGTTTGGTGATGCTATATCCCTTGTTACAAAAAAAAAGCATCACAAAAAGATACCAAAGAAGCTTCAAAAATGTGGTATATTGTTAGATGAGAAAGAATTACACTTTAGGATTTGTGCATGTGTAAATTCTGAGAATGCTGTGTGTACTTGACCGTGTCCCAAACATATGGGGCAAAATACTCCATAATTCCCTACATGACAATGTATTCAGTACAGGGCACCTTGACTTATATAATGGCTCTTTTAATGTGAAATCACAACATATTGCTCCATTTTTGTAGACGGAATGACGCCCCTCTCATATTCATGCATGCACTGACAGTGTTTCAGTCAGAATTTTGTAATTATATCAGGATTTTCTTAAACTGTCCTGGTACTAATCATGATATTTTCCTGCATTATTACCTTGTAGATCACTGTGTCCTGGATGGACATCCGTATATTCACATTTACATGAGATTTATGGGGTTTTTTTGGAGGAGGCAAAACAAGACTTAGATATAGATGTATCCAAAATATTATTTATTTATTTACTTACTTACTACATTTATATTCTGCCCTCTCTCACCCCAAAGGGGACTCAGAGCCGCTTCCAAATTGGCAACAATTCAATGCCATATAAGCAAACATATAAATACAATAAGCATATATATTAAAAACCATAAACCCTTAAGAAAAAAACATCTATACATTAAAGCCAATTATTAAAACCACACAGATCCAAAATCATAGTCCAGGAGCCATTCCAGTCACGTTGCACTTATTTCATATCCACTTACTGCATCGAATTATTCCCCGAAGGCTTGGTCCCACAGCCAAGTTTTAAATTTCTTTCTAAAGGTCAGGAGGGAGGAAGCTGATCTGATTTCACTGGGGAGGGAGTTCCACATCCAAGTGGCCAGCACTGAAAAGGCCCTGTCTCTCGTCCCCACCAATTGCATCTGCGAAGGAGGTAGGACCGAAAGCAGGGCCTCCCCAGAAGATCTTAACCTCCAAGGTGGTTCATAGAGGGAGATATGTTCAGACAGTATGTTGTTTGCAAACCTTTGGACTGCAAGTGGTCTTACCAATGAATCCTATCACTTTTCATGTGAACTTACTGAAGACTGAGCATTTAAAAATGATTCTGAAGACAATGGCTGCTTCCCACACCCACACTTCACTGGAGATAGATCTCCAGCAACTTCAGACACAGACAATATGCAGCTTTTAAAAGGTCTCCTACTTGAAAAGTGGCTACATTAGAAAGTGAGAGTTAATGTGGGGCAGGAAGTGTTATATTTAGCCGTCATCGTCAAATATCCTTATGAAGCCAGATTTTATTTAAAATGCATCTCACAGGTATCTATTAGCGATCACTCTTAGCTGAGTATGATTGTCTTTCAGGGGCAGAGTCTTGGTAGTGTATCCGTAAGTGGCTGCAGAGATCAAGGATCTTATCATAAAGGCTGCCAGAATCACCATGGATTGTGGTGAATTCAGCAGTGCCCATCAGGATCTTGTCACCTAATGCCCCACATCATACAGTTTACCAACATTGTGTCAACCATGCTGCTTCCTCCTATTGCTACTGGTGCAACACGGGAAGCCTCTCATGTTGCCACCACAGTGGCATATGCAGATTCCACTATAGTTTACCCATGGAGCCCCACAAGAAGTTCCCCTGCATTGTGAGATGAGAGTTGGCAGGCTCTGTGGGTAAACTGTAGCTGATCCGCGGTCTTCCACCAAAGTAACCCCATCTTATGAGGTTGCTACTCTAGATCCACATGGTCTTTCACAATGAGAACATAGATTTCCAGATAGGAGGCAGTCACGGCAAGGGTTTGCTTGACACATCTTCCTCTTGGCACATTTCTCCTTTACTCTGTATTAATGCCTCGGAATCCATAGAATGGTCAGACATAGTTGACATCTAATTACAGTGCTTGAGTGCCAGGACTTCCCAGTTTTTGGTGTTATTCCACATTTTTAAGGTTAGCTTTTCAAACTGTTTTCCACTGACAATCCATTTTCCATTCTCAGAGGTGGCCCTAGGTAATTTTCTACGGTAAGCAAACAGTATTTTGGCACACACACCCCCTCCCCAACCAATCACTGATATATATTTTCTGTTCATCGTGGGAGTTCTGTGTGCCATATTTGGTTCAATTCCATCATTGGTGGAGTTCAGAATGCTCTTTGATTGTAGGTGAACTATACATCCAGTAACTACAACTTGCATATGTCAAGGTCTATTTTCCCCCAAGAGCGCCTCAAGAGCGCCCCTGGGCAAAATTAACTATACTGAAAATGCTTACTTTGCGTAATGGGTTGAGCCGCCCCTGTCCATTCTTGAGTTAAGAACAAAGTAACTGCTTTGGGAGACAGTGATCGGGCATTCGGACAATGTGAATCTGAAAGTGTACAGTTGTCTTATCTTCCCACGTTGAGTTTGATTGCTAGCATTGTTACTCAGTGTATGTTGGCTGGTTGAATGTAATCAATTACTGTCATTTTTACACTTATGTTTCACTCCCCTTTCCCTTTTCTAATCCCCATTTTCATGACAGAGGTGAAGAAGAAGGTGGGCTTCATCACCCCTGTGCCAGGAGGGGTAGGACCAATGACAGTTGCCATGCTCCTGAAGAATACATTAATTGCTGCAAAGAAGCTTAGTCACTAAAATTTAGATTCAAGTAATTCTATTTATGGATACACAAACATTATTTTTATTACAGATACATTTATTTCTAAATTAAATTGTATTTATTTATTTATGTAAGTATATTGTTTACAAAATGTTACAAAACTATTACTTACACTGCAAAATATGCATCTGTTGACTTCATGTATGAATTGGTGTGATTTCCCAGTTGATCCAAAACAAATTTGAGTTGTGACTTTTTGTACAATGTCGTTTGTTAGCAGGAGCAGTCTTCCAGATGAATGTGACATGTGAATCTGTGTTTCCATCCTGTAATGTCACTGTAGTGTATGATAATAAAGGGCTCATACCTTAGTAACCTTATGCACAAAGGGGGAAAACCTCAACCATGCACTCAGAAACTCCTTGTGGGATATGCTTGCTAAAAATGAATCTGGAAAACCAGGTTATGATGGTTGGACATGTTTGAAGACAACACAAATGAAGTAAACTGCATGTAGACTGTAGCATGCTCTGTATTTTCTAATTGCTTTTATCATGACTGAAATGTGTACTACTCTTAGGATGGCTGTACGTCATAGCACTCGATGTCTACCTCTAGCTTGGCTTTCACATCTGAAGAAAAGACATTTGCCACATCCTCATTTCCAAAGATGAAGGCATAGGAAAAAGTTCAAAGATAATTGGACATATATTTAGGGTTATAAGCCTTGAGAAGGATTTGAAAAGTTTATGGTCAACATTTCTATGCAAGTACAATGTAATGTCTAAGCATATTACCCAAGACTGATGAAAGTAAAAAATTACTGATGAAAAAATCTGCTGAAATTTTTGGTTGATCCATTATGAAAACTGAGATGAATCCACTTAAGTACTTATCAACATATCTTTATCCCAACCATAGGGACTTAATACAGTATCTTATTCAGTACTTGTTGCTATAATTTCATATAAATGCTTGTATGAACCCAAATCAGAAGCGTTTCTTCAAATAAAAAATCGACAATAAAATATTGATAAATTACCCATTTTAGTTGTATTGTTTCATTCACAATAAATTCAGGTGTTAACTATTAAATATTTAAGTGTTGGTATTCTCACCTCCCATCTTGAACTTGGTTGAAGCATTGCTTCCTTAAAAAACTATGTGATAACACTGTTCAACGGAGAAAAAGTTGCGGGCCTGAAAATAGTTGTTCTTTTATGATTTTGGGGTGCTGAAAACGAAAATGACATTTAAAAATGTATATTGGCTCAAGTTTTTATGATATAAGAAATCACGTGATCACGTATGGTTGAAAAAATGCATGTTGCGACTTACACTATGGAAGATTCTAGAAAGTTGCGGGCCTGAAAATAGCTGTTCTTTTATGATTTTGGGGTGCTGAAAATGAAAATGACATTTAAAAATGTATATTGGCTCTAGTTTTTATGATATAAGCAATCACGTGATCATGTATGGTTGAAAAAATGCATGTTGCGACTTACACTATGGAAGATTCTAGAATACTCTAGAAAGTTTGATGACGCAGTATTAGTGCCGTGTGCAAAAGCCAGAAAGCCCTATATTAGGCCAGACTTTTGAACGGTCAGTTGAAGACTGAGACAGTATCGTTAAACATCATTTTACATTGTTCTTTTTACTGTAGTTATGCCTCGCACGTGTGTAAATAAAGCACTATGCAAAAAAGATATCAAGGCAAATGGACTCCGTCAATGCTGTCAGACTACTGCTGGAGCATTGTAAGAGACAATCCTTCCCTTGAATACAAAAGAAAAGTCAAGAGAAGCAAACAGGATAAAAACTAAAGTCACGATTAAAGCGACATTTAAACTTTCAGACTTTTCAACTGCATTAGGCCTACTAAGATAGTTTCTTGCTGCACAAACATAAACAATAGACTAATTAATTAAATAAATATTTCTCATGTATAAACTATAGGCAATATAATTTGACTAACATTTAGTAAATATTCACGATTTATATACATGCAGTAAGGTTAGGCGCATTATCATAATATTAACGAATTACCTATTGTGGAGAAAATTGAAATAGCTGTTGCATAAAAACCAGAGCCAATTAACACATTTAATTATTATATTTGAATTCATCATGTTAAATTTATTAAGAAACGGCACATTTCATTTCCGTAACTAGAAAAACTGAAAATTTGTAGAACAGTGTAATCTTTGCAACAGTCATTCTTGATGTATTTTTTTTATTTTGCATTCATATGTTCCTATGATAGTTACAGACAACAATCCAAAGTGAGGAAATAGATGTGTGAAAAAGATTATTATAAGCAAATTTCCTATTTATGAAATGGGATTTCTGGATCATAGGAGAGATGTGATGTGTACATGTATGCTTATAATACAGAAATTATAGGAAATATTCAAAAGAAATTGAAAAGACAAATGGAGTTGTGCTATATATCAAAACCAGTTTAATCCATAATTAATACTTTGTGATTATAAATGTAGCTATATAATGGTTGAAATATCTATGCAAGGATTACAAACTTTAATAGTTATGGTTTATGCTCCAAATGACAACAAAATGAGATTTAGAAACTAAAATGAAAAGTGCAAAGCAAAAGTACTTTGAATCAGCGAATAAACCAGGAAAATTGTTAGCATACAAATTGAGGAAGGAAAAGCAAAAAAAAGAAGTAATTTTTAAGATACAACACAATAATAAAATATTAATGGATGATACCAATTTTCAACGGGTTTTTAAATAATATTACAGTAATTTGTATAATTTGTATAATACCATGCATCTCTGGAAGATATAGACAGTTACTTAATCCAGCAAAAGTTGCCCAAAATTATTGAAACACAAAAACAATTGACCAATGGGCCTATACCACCCAAAGAAACATCAGAGACCATAAAAAATAAGAACTGGGAAAACACCAGGCACAGATGGATTACCAGCCTCCTATTATAAACATTTTGAAGATGAACTTGGGCTACCACTTCAACAAACCATGAATTCCATACCCGAAACAGGATATATACTTGAAACATGGTGAGAAAATAATATTGCTCTAATACCTGCACCTGCACCTTGGGAAGTCTGACTTGACCACAGTGGTCCACGGTGGTCCACGCTTTGGTTACATCCCATTTAGACTACTGCAATGCTCTCTACGTGGGGTTGCCTCTGAAGACTGCCCGGAAGCTGCAGCTAGTCCAACGCTCGGCAGCCAGACTGCTAACGGGTGCTGGGTACAGGGAGCACACCACTCCGCTGTTACACCAGCTCCACTGGCTGCCAATTAGCTTCCGAGCACAATTCAAAGTGCTGGTGTTAACCTATAAAGCCCTAAACGACTCCGGCCCTGTTTACCTCTCCGAACGTATTCTCCCCTATGAACCATCAAGATTATTAAGATCTAGGTTCTTATTAAGATCGCCTCTAGAACATGGCCAGATAGCCCGAAAAAACCCACAAGAACCTAGTGATTCCAGCCATGAAAGCCTTCGACAATACATTATTAAGATCGTCTGGAGAGGCCCTGCTCTCAGTCCCACCGGCCTTGCAAGCGCGTCTGGTGGGGACGACGGACAGGGCCTTCTCGGTGGTGGCCCCTCGACTCTGGAACTCTCTCCCACTGGAGATCAGAACTGCCCCATCTATCCTGACATTTAGGAAACAGGTAAAGACTTGGTTATGGAGACAGGCATTCAACGAAAGAGCCAGATGGATGGAGGATGATGAACAACGGGTTAGTGTGACGACTGACCATTGTAGTTATTGAATGTAATTGCTATTTTAATGTTTTAGTGTAAAATGAATTATTATGTTTTTATTAACGATATATGATATTATGGTTGGAAATTGGTCTGAGTCCCTCAAGAGAGGTGAGAAGGTCGATATATAAAACTTTTAAGTAAATAAATAAATAAATAAATAAATACCTTAGGAAGATCAGGATTTAACTTTACCACGGAGGTCGAGAGGACGGGGTTATAAAAGCTCTAAATAAATAATATCTCTATTGAACAATGGCTATAAATTGTTTACAACCATCCTTGCTGAAAGACTGAAATGTGTACTTCAGCAGTTTATTTGTCAAGATCAATATGGTTTTTTGCCTGAAAGACAACTATGAGACAATGTAAGAAATGTAATGAATATTTTGGAGTATTCGGGAAAACATAATGAAAAACCAGCCACTGTGATCTTTTTAGATGCAGAAAAAAAGCTTTCATAAACTGAACTGGCCATTTATGTTTACAGTATTGGAGCATATGGATTTTGGAAATAATTTCATAAAATGGATAGAATCAGTTTATAGTAGGCGGACAACACAAGTGGTTGTAAATGCAAATTTAACCAAGCCATGTGAAATGCACTAGATAGGATACTCACTCTCATCACTTCTATTCATACTAATTCTTGATGTACTTTTAAGTGATATACAATGTGATTTCTGTAATAAAGATTTGAAAGGAACATTATAAATTACGAGCATTCACAGGTGATTTGGTGATTACTTTAGAAAACCCATTGAATAGAATAGAAGTATTGATGAGAAAATTGAAAGATTTTGGAACTTTAGTGGGATTTAAAATCAACCAGAAAGTTATGACTGTCTTTATACTTTCCTTCTTGTTATGCTCTTCAGCATGCCCCATCGTGAGCTCCTTTAAAAAAAAAACAGTTTTATTTTTATTGAAAACATCTTGGATATATAAAGTAAATGGTTAACCCGTAGATGTTACAAATATGCTCTTACGATTCTGTTAAATTCCAGCTGGTCAAAAGGATTTTTAAAGGCTGTGTCATAAGGTCTAGTGTAGTTTCATTGTCTGTTCGTCATTCCAAAATTTCTGGTGATGAAAGTCTGTCCTTGTTGTTTAGATGGTCAATAAATTGAAACTGAGTCCCCTTGGGGAGAGAGGGCAGAATATAAATAAAGTTTATTATTTATTATTGAACTTGTTTTCAATGGTTTCTGCTTTGACATACTTTGTATCACTATCCATGGTCAGTCTCTCATACAGTGCCAAGTCCAAAACACCTTGGGGCTATGGACGAATGTTTATGTTATTTGCATATTTCTAATTTCAGGTGATTTGCTTACAGACAATAAATTGAAGTCATGAAAGTACCTTATATACTCATATATAAGTTAACTTCATGTATAAGTTGATAGCAGATGTTGAGTACAAAATTCTTGAAGATCCCAACCTGTGGATAAGTTGGGTCATTTCACAGACAGGGGAAAGTGCCATTGTTTCCTCAGGAGCCAGTCGACACCATTTTATCCACCTAGGCGTTCAAATAATGAAGAAAACTTCATCTGTGCTTCTTTTAGGTTCTACAGGAATCTTACTTTTTACTATTCAACTCAGGGACAGCTGGTTCCTTTCTGCTAGGGGCCCAACCACACTGCACCTTTATCTCAGGAGCTCCCAGTTCTAAATGGTGGGTGGCCAAAGGATGTCCCCTGAAATCATGGGAGGAATTGCTACAAAACACTATAAATGTGAGATTTTCAGTTGTGGGGATATCCTGGCTCTGGCCGGAAAATGCTGAAATTCGAATCTCTGTATGTCCCTACACTCAGAAAATTTATGTTGGTTTGTTCCCAGGATATATATGATGGTACCTGATCAGTTGCATCCTAAAAACATGGCAACAGTTGACTATCTGGCAAGAGAAACTTCATCCTCCACACATTTAACTAAGTTTGTGACACACAAACAAAGCTTTTTCCATATAATCAACGTTCACCATGTTTTTATTATAAAAGCAACAAGGAACAGACATGTATAACCTAGGAACAGCACCCTATTGTTCCCAGGCACAATCAAACCTGTCTGGACAGATGGCATAATAATAATGACAACGTTCTGTTCTAGCTTGAAAATATCAGTTCGTGTTTAATAGTGTAGTCCAGATTTTGAAGGTAGTGGTCCCACTCCACAAACTTTGTTTGTGTGCCAAAAAACTTCATTAAACGTGTGGAGGACGAAGATTATCTTGCCAGAACGAAGTTTTTGCCCTCTCGTAAACTTTCTCCATCTTTTCAGGATAAAAGCAATGAGGAACAGATATGTATGACCCAGGAACAAAACTCGTACAAACAATGAACATATTCGCATCTGTGTATTTAAAGGTGTTTTTTTTTAAGCCGAATTTTCCTGAGGGCGTCCTGCAGCAGCCATCTTGCAGGCTTTGAAATCCCGTAATGAAGCAGCAAGTCTGGACATCACAGGCAGAAATCCTGGGATCAACATGTCTGTGTGCAAACCTGATCTCAGGTCCTAGGGTTTTTTTTTTCCCCAACTTGGGTTGTTATATCAAATTTTTCACTGTATTTGTCAGGTAACAGTGCACTATTATCCAGAAAAAAGAAAGCATGAACAATTATTTTCTCTTGTAATATCTTCAATAAGTTTAAGTACAGTGTCCCAGAATAGCCACTTGTGAATTAGTGTGTCTTGTTCTCCGCGCTCCAATAAGTCATTGAACATCTTTCCATAACAGAGTTGAGGGACATTGACAGAAATCAGTTTTAGTTTATTCAAGGTTATAGTTTGTGATTAAGTTGAACAAATATTAATTTTCTTCTCTGCATTTCTAAAATGCATGTAATGCCCACAAATATGTGTGCGTGCACACGCACACACACAATCACACGCCCCATCCCCCCTCTTTCAGCGAATGACTAAAAATAGCTATCCCTAGTCTCAGGCTATGAACTCCGCTAATCTGCCATGGTCTATTTTTTGTTCATTCCTTATGCATTCTCTAAATATGTGCATGCATGAGTGTCAGGTTTGTACCTTATCTCCACTTACAGATATCAGATTTCCACCTTAAAACAGTCACTGAAGACAAAATTATGCTTAGAGGTAACAGGAAAATCCCGGCGTCTTCTGCATTGTCCTCAAGAAAAATACCTGACCACATTGCAAGACTGAGATGGTTTTCTAAATTGATCTCTTTTTGCTTTGAGGCTTCAGGTGAGTTATCTAACATGCTAGTAAGAGCAGCAGGTGATCGTTTATGGTATATAAATATGTCAGAGACAAAGGAGTACAGCCAGCTGGAGCAGAAGCGTTGGAAAGAGAGAGGTGAGAGTCATACATTAGAACTGACGATTAGTATGGCTTTGGGAATGTTAATGTATATATTGCTGAAAGGTAAGTGTGCTCAGTTTTTGATCATTTCAAAATGTGTATTCTGCTTAAACTTGGGCTCTAAACTTCATTAGTATAATCTGGGGATTAATCAGCACTCATCTTGTCAAATGGCACACTTATTTTTGAAGCTGTTTTGCTTTTGGCATGGTACTGAAAAATACAGTTCAAAAACATAGCTGCATTAATCTGGAATATCAATGTGCAAAGGGCTCTTGTTGCACTTGGAGACTAACTGAAAGAACGAAGTTGATAGCATAAGCTTTCATCTAGGCATCTAAAGAAGTAGACTTTGTCTATGCATCTAAGGAAGTTGTTGTTGTTCATTCGTTCAGTCGTCTCCAACTCTTCGTGACCTCATGGACCAGCCCACGCCAGAGCTCCCTGTCAGCCATCACCACCCCCAGCTCCTTCAAGGTCAGTCCAGTCACTTCAAGGATGCCATCCATCCATCTTGCCCTTGGTCGGCCCCTCTTCCTTTTACCTCCCACTTTCCCCAGCATAATTGTCTTCTCTAGGCTTTGCTGTCTCCTCATGATGTGGCCAAAGTACTTCAACTTTGTCTCTAGTATCCTTCCCTCCAATGAGCAGTCGGGCTTTATTTCTTGGAGGATGGACTGGTTGGATCTTCTCGCAGTCCAAGGCACTCTCAGGACTTTCCTCCAACACCACAGTTCAAAAGCATCTATCTTCCTTCGCTCAGCCTTCCCTAAGGTCCAGCTCTCACATCCGTAGGTTACTACAGGGAATACCACGGCTTTGACTATGCGGATCTTGTTGCCAGTGTGATGTCTCTACTCTTTACTATTTTATCGAGATTGGACATTGCTCTCCTCCCAAGAAGTAAGCGTCTTCTGATTTCCTGGCCACAGTCTGCATCTGCAGTAATCTTTGCACCTAGAAATACAAAGTCTGTCACAGCCTCCACATTTTCTCCCTCTATTTCCCAGTTGTCAATCATTCTTGTTGCCATAATCTTTTTTTTTTATGTTTAGCTGCAACCCAGCTTTTGCGCTTTCTTCTTTCACCTTGATTAGAAGGCTCCTCAGCTTCTCCTCACTTTCGGCCATCAAAGTGGTGTCATCTGCATATCTAAGGTTGTTAATGTTTCTTCCAGCAATTTTCACCCCAGCCTTGCATTCATCAAGCATCTAAATTCATCTACATTCATCTAAGGAAGTAGACTAAGTATATTTATTAGGCATGGATAGAGCCACGTCGGATTACTCGTTACTTGTTATAATTTCGTTAAACTTACCTTTTTGAAGTGACGTCGAAGCATTTTTTAAAACCGGAACTCCCTTTGCCCTTCCAAAGCTTTTTCCGCCATTTTTGTTACGACTCAGGAAGTGAGTCAGAAATGGTTCAGTGTATTTTCAGCCCTCTACTAGCCTGCTGGGAGGCAAGCAGCTTGCATGCATTCAGAGGCTGGATGGCCATCTGTCAGGGGTGATTTGAATGCAATATTCCTACTTCTTGGCAGGGGTTGGACTGGATGGCCCATAAGGTCTCTTTTTGGAAGCTTTTAAACAGAGGCTGGATGGCCATCTGTCAGGGGTATTTGAATGCAATATTCCTGCTTCTTGGCAGGGGGTTGGAATGGATGGCCCATGAGGTCTCTTCCAACTCTTTGATTCTATGATTCTATGGAAAAGTTTTGGGGAGGGGAGGGGTTTCGTCACTGGCAGCCATTGTTCTATATAAAGGGGAGCACATGGCTCAGAGGCTCATTCGGAGCTGGGAAGGGAGAAGGAAAAAGGGAGAAGGGAAAGGGAGAGGAAAAGGGATAGGGAAAGGAGGTTGTGTTGAAGGGGGTTGTGTTGAAGGGAGGTTGGAAGAAGAGCATGGTGGGCAAGCAAGCACGTAAGCAGCAAACAAGCAGAGAAGGGCTGGGAGAAGGTCTGTTGCCTGGCTGCCTGGCTGGCCGGGCAGCCTGCCTTGCCATTTGTGTGTTGTTGCTGTTGGGGTTTGGGACGGGTGGGCACCACGAGGGTAGTGTGTGGGTGCATGGCATGGATGGAAGGAGCAACACAGAGCAACCAAAGCACTCCAATATTTTAAAAAGCCTCAGCATTGTATCAGGTCTCTCTGACCTCAGTGTTTTTTAATTTGTGTTGCACGTTGCCTAAAAAGAACTAGTAGGCTTGGTTGATAAAAAAATTGTTCAAAACTAGTTTCGGATGTAGGGGACACTGGTGGTTCGGATCTAAAGTCAATTCTGATTTTCAATGAAAAAAAAGTTCAAAATTTCTCAGACTTCCGAATCCTTCATTAATGGTTTAACAGTATTTCCTGTTTCACTGGGTGGTCTTTACTTTGAAAGTAGTTGTTTTACTCCAGAAAGGGGGGGGGGGCAAAGGGAGGAAATTCATCCACTCTGGTTTAAAACGTTTAAGCCAAAGGCATAACCCAGCTATCCCAGGCAGAAGGAGGGGGAAGAGAGGAGAGAGAGAGAGGAGATTCCCCACTCCATTTTAAAATGTTTGCCACTGATCCCAGGCAGAGGGGGGGGGGGGGAGAGAGAGACATAGACGAAGAGAGAGAGAGAGGAGAGATTCCCCACTCCATTTTAAAATGCTTGCCACTAATTCCAGGCAGAAGCAGGGGGAAATTGAGAGACAGAAGAGATTCTACACTCCATTTTAAAATGCTTGCCCAGACTCCAGATGGTCACCCAGCCTCAATAATAATAATAACAAACCCCCTTCTGCCTTCATGCAGGGAACGCACAATCAAAGCACCCCTGACAGATGGCCATCCATTCTTAATAATAATAATAATAATAATAATAATAATAATAATAATAATAGTTTTAACCTCCTGGCCCAGGAAGTTTAGGCAGGCAGGAAGGCAGGCAGGTCTCTGTGAGTGCTGCACCCGCTGTGTCCTCCTTGCTCAGTGCAGGCAGAGTGAGGAATGAGGCCAAAGGCGACCTATGGGAGCAGTGAGCCCCAGCTGGGCACAGAAAGGACAGAAGAAGCATAAGGAAAGAGGCGGGAAGCAGCAGAGGGCACACTCGCCAACCGCTTCACTCAGCCAGAGGCTTCCCAACGCTGGGAAAGAGGTGCCCGCAGGGGAAAGAGGGCTGAGAGCGCACACCCAGGGGCCAGTGACCGGCAGGTGGAGAGAGAGAGGAAATTCATCCGCTTGAGCTGAGGCCAGGGACCAGAATTGGGTAAACGCCGACTCACTTACTGATTCGTAAGAGAAATGGCAGAAAAAGCTTCGGAAGGGCAAAGGGACTTCCGGTTTGCTTAAAAACGTCGAAATCGCTTCAAAAAGCAAATCTTTCTGAAGACTCTGAGGATTCCGACAGAACCTAACCATGTCTAAGAACTAGATTTCCCATCAATTCAAGCCACTCTTTGAACAAAAATTCTCCTTCCTAAAGTTGTAAAATCAGCTTCCAAGGCAAAAAGAGCAGGGCTGTTTGTTATTTTCTTTGATTGCTGTGCATTGCCTAAAAAGACACTACAAACCCTGTACTTTCAGGCCTTTCCTTACCTAAGTTGTGAAAACAGCTTACAAGGCCCCAAAAGTTCTCAGGACTGGCTGTTTGTTATTTTCTTTGTTTGCTGTGCGTTGCCTAAAAATACACTACAAATCCCTTACTTTCAAGCCTATACCTCCCTAACTTGTGAAATCAGCTAACAAGGTCCCAAAAGCTCTCAGGACTGTTTGGTATTTTCTTTCATTGTTATGCGTTGCCTAAAAAAACACTACAAATCCCATACATTCAAGCCTATACTTCCCTAACTCTGTGCTCTGTTTGATTATTTGTTTGCTGTGCGTTGCCACAAAAGACACTATAAATCCCATACATTGTGCAATCATGTCCGCCATTAATGAAGTGATTTGGAAATTTCAGAAATTTCGGAAAGGTCCAAATTTTTTGGGGAAAAATTCGGAACTCAATTCCAATTCGAACCACCAGTTTTGAACCAATTTTTTTTATCAACCAAGCCTAATATCTATCTAAGAAAGTACACTTAAGTCTAGAAAATCTTATGTGACCAACTTTGTTCTCTCAGCCTTTAAATGCTTACATCTCTTTGCTTTTGGAAAAATATAACATTAAACCATTAGATAGTTGTTGCTTATTAAATTCCAAGTTTCTGCACATTTTCTTAAAATTCAAGAACCACAAATCAATTTACATTTATAGAAAAAAATCCTGTCCCATTGACTGCAATGCATCTTACTCCCACATAAATGGGATCAGAATTGCAAATTTTATAGCACAATCCTACACATTTGTACACAGTGCAATGTCCTACTGACATCTGTGAAACTAGCACTATGCCTTAGGGTTCTATGTAATTCTGTATGGTTCGACATCTTGTTTAGCAAGCTATATATTCAACAGCTGGGAGAGACTGTACAGAGATCAAAGACACCAGAGAGATGGAAATCTCTCAAAAGTCAGTAATGAGCTACCTAAGAGCTAACAACCTGAAACTCAGTTCAGATAAAGTGTAGATGAGTTATTTTATCAGATTGGTAAGGCAATGTTTAGCTGTTTTCAGATGTGGTTTTAGTTCCCCTTAAAGATCAGATGCAAAATTGGATGATAGTGACTGTAACCAGTTTTGGTTACAGTTGTGAAAGAGTACCGCAGTAAAGTAATACCTACTTACGTATTTCTACAGATGTAGCAGAGTCACTCTCCAGCACAACAGTATCGATTAAGACAGAAACATATGCATTCCTGCCATGGACATACCCTGGTTCAGGTGAGCAGTTTATTGAAGGTCTCGGCTATAATGGGAGGAATGTTGTTATGCTCATGCGAGATTTGCCATATGCAATGAGTTGGAACATTATCACATGAGGATTGGAGTGTACGTTTGTAGCTATTTAACAGTGAGTGATCATGTTATCATCTGACATAGTGATATTGTTTGCTTTGTACTAATTTTGTTGTGTATCGAATAATAATCTATATAAATAAAAATGTAAATGTCCATTCATTCAAAATCTTAAATCTCCCCAAATACTTCACTTATTGCTTTGAAATTTTGACAAAATGTAGCATATGAATAGGTACATGTTTTTATGTTTTCACATACTTACTATGATTTGTCACACTTGTGACAGATAAAAATATGCCTTTTTTCAAAAGCAGTGCGATCTGTTGGACGTCAAAAAACACACACTTGCAATTCTATTTCAGTCTTTCCAAATGCATTGCCACATTTAATTTTCATAGATTTCGAATCACAGTGTTCCCTCGCTACTTCGCGGTTTGTTTTTCGCGGACTCGCTGTTTTGTGTGTTTTCGCCTCCCAGTTTATGAATGATTGCCGTTGCCCAGAGTAGCATTCTAATCCTGTGATGAAGCATTGATTTTTAACTGTAAGTTAAGCGTAGTTATGTATATGTGTCTCTACCAGGCCCGTAGCCAGGATTTCGATTCGGGGGGGGGGGGGGGGCGAGTCTGAGTGAAAGAGGGTCTAGCCTAGCAAACCTTTTGTATCATTACCCCAATACCCCCATGGGATATATTGAGCATGGTGATCAGATCATGATATGAATAAACATAACAGTTTAAATAATGTACCAGTAAGGCCTACTCGCGGACCACCATGAGAATTGGGGGGGGGGGCTGAAGCCCCTCAACCCCCCCCCCCCAGCTACATGCCTGGTCTCTACAGTTAAATATGATTGTGTTTGTGTGTGTGTGTGTATGGGGATGGGACCAAGCTCAGCACTCTGAGTTAGGTTGCCATGGAGAAAGGGGTGGAGCAAACTGCACTTACCAGAGGCAGACATTTTGAGGCTTCAGTCCTTTGGTCATCGAGCCAAAGGGAAGGTGGTTCAAACATGTGGTGAAGCAAACTAAGGGAAAGCTTTTAGCCTGAGTGATTTAAATATGTCAAGGGGACTTATTTAGGTTTGTAGTTTAGCTGTGTGCCAATAGGAGAAGAAATCCCACTGGGAATCTTTACTTCAGCAGGGAGCTAAAGGGAAACAAGGGCATTAGCTAACTTTAGTTAATCTGTCAAATAAGGAAACATATTTAGAAGTGTAACAACTAAAGAACTAGTTGGTGAAGTAAAAGACATCCTAAAGTTATATTAAGATTTGTTGAAACTGTAACTCGTAAAGCTTTATACCTCAGGAGAAGAGAACTCTGAAACCATTAAGACCCTTCCATACTCCAAATAAACTTGTTTTAGTAACTGAAGTCTTAGTGTACTATTTCAAAGAAAAAAAAACCTCACTACACACCAAAAGAAACACTACAGAGTGGTAGCAGTGAATCTATTTGAAAATAGGGGAATCTATTAATAAACTAAATAGGAAACCCTTATTAACTGATGGCAGCATAGCCTAGTACAGTAGTTCTCAACCTGGGGTCCCCAGATGTTTTTGGCCTTCAACTCCCAGAAATCTTAACAGCTGATAAACTGACTGGGATTTCTGGGAGTTGTATGCCAAAAACATCTGGGGACCCCAGGTTGGGAACCACTGGCCTAGTACCTCACAGATGGTGGCAGCATACTAGATTAAATAGAATATCAGACAACGAAGAGGAAGCCTTTACAATCCCACCTTCTGGCAATGATGGAGTGTGGAAGTGCAATTTAAGAAATTGCAATTCCCAGTTCGATTGGCATTTGTAATCTCCATTCACAAAGCTCAGGGCCAATCTTTAGAATTCTATGGTTCAGATCTAGATTGCTTCTCTCATGGACAGCTGAATGTTGCATATTCTAGAGTCAGCAAACCAGACAGTCTCTATATCGGCACAGACAATGGAACAACAACAAAAAAATCATTATATTGCAAACTTGCTCTTTCTCTTTTCTTTCTTTTCCATTTAACCAGACTGAGCCACAGCACCACGTTGCAGGGGACAGCTAATAATAATAATAATAATAATAATAATAATAATAATAATAATAGCAATGGCTCCACACTTGCAAAATATGCCACTTCATTCAACAATGGAATAGTGAAAGCGAGGTGGAACAATAATGGTCAAACTTGGAGGTGGGGTTTCCATGGATAAACAAATTGTGTGGCGCTATCTTCAAAGCATGGAAAAATCTGGAAAAAAAACTGGGATTCTAAGATGCCCTCTATTTTTAGACATCTTTATATGGGGGAGAAGGTGTGTCACAGAATTGAAAAAATACGGTAATAAGAAAAACACTAAGAAATCCAAGCTGCATTCTCGTCACATAAAAGAACACAATCTACAGTATCAATCAATCAATCAATCAATCAATGATTTATTACGGTCCATGACCAACACAATAAAATAAAAATAAAATAGATATAAAAATCCTAAAATCAAAATCTACAGTATCAGATAAATATTTTAAATTTTAAAAATCATGATAATAAAAGGACGGAAAGTAAGGTATCCTATGAAAAACACTAATTTAAAACAATTTGGCCACAATTCTAAGCATACCTCTTTGGAAATATGAACCATTATTTCAGTGGCACTTACTCCATGGTTAAATATGTATAGGATGGCAACCTGATAGTCCATGTGATTTATTCTCATCGATTATTTCTTTCCAATAGGAAATGCAGAAATTTCTATGAATTTAAAGAGTGTGCAGACCTGTCTCGAAGAGCACAACCATTATTGTATTAATGGTAACTGCATATTTCACACAGAACTAAAGATGCCCATCTGCAGGTAAACCAGTCGTTCCCTGGAAAATTAGCTTTAATGATACAAACTCTGGATCAGAATACATCCTGACTGTAATTTTTACAATTTATTGGTTACATTTATCATCCACATTATCTCACTTTAGGATTTTTTCCCCTATAGGTGTATTACTGGTTACAGCGGCGAAAGATGTGAAAATGTGATGTTAAGGTCTTATTCAGAATATAGCTATGAAGGCTACATTGCTGTCGGGATTGGTGCTGCAATGTTGTTCATTGGAATTTTTGCTGTAATCTACTGCTTCATAAGGAAAAGGTAGGAAAGATAAGCCCTGTCCTGGTCTTGCTCAGTGAACTTATCACAGGTACATTGTCTGGTCAGCTATATTGAAATACCATGCAACCCCCATTCCTGTGGGGGATACATTACTGGACTTCATGTGGATATGCGAAACCCTTTTTATTTTCAATGGGATGAATAATGGAGGCTCCAAAAAAAATGGTGTAGCTTGTACTGGAGGCTTTAAATGAATAAATGAAACTGTGGATTAATGAAAGCATATATTTGAGTTCTGCAGAAACGGGGGTCATACAGTAGTAAACAAATACATTGATAATAGTGGTGGATACTATTCCATTGCAATGTATGAGGGTTGAATGAAAAGTAATGCCTCTACCTTTGTGCTGGTACGGCTGTGCCAGGAGCTCCAACTTTATTTGATTTGTATTAAATGCTTGCTTGGGTTTCAGGGACTCTGCAGAAAGGTATCTTCCTTTGGTTGCAGTCATAGGGCAAGTCTCCTGTCCATCATCGTTAAGTTTGGGTCCTGCCCCTTGCTCAGGGCAATTGGGAAGGGAAGGGAGCCATTTTTTAGTTAGTCTCAGCAAGGAAAGCTAATGTACAGGACGTGTGCAAGCTTCCCCTGTACAAAAGCTTCAACGCTTAAGACTTTCCGGGGGGGAACAGTCTTAAGAGCATCCAAGACCTTCCGGGGGAGAACAGTCTTAAGAGTCTCCAAAGATTTCCAGGGAAACAGCCCTAAAGACCAAAGAACTCCAGCTGGAGAACATCTAAGCCTTTACTGATAGGTCCGCTCGGCGTTCAAGAAGCAGTTCAACCCGGTAGCGGAGCCCACATCAGTAAGGGTTAGATTACAGTCAGCCTGGGAGAAGTTAAAAAGGGGACTTTCCTTTAAAGTAAAGAAGAAGTTATTGAAGACAGTTGCCTGTCCTTCGTGGGCAAGTTTAGGAAGCTACCAGTTGCATAAAAGCCTGGAATCATTTGTTTAACTTTCTGAAGACAAGAGAAGTTTCTGTTTGATTGTTCATTAATAAAAGACTTTGTTATACTTCACAAGCCATCTAAAGATCATTTGTGGTGGAAAACCTCTGAGAACTTCTCTTTGGGCCCTCTGGCTTCCTGCTGGGCAAAGGTTGCACGTCCTATTCTAAAGGAAATTCTTTACAGGCCCAGCACGTGACAGAACAACCTTCGTAATTCCTCAACAGATGGCAGTACTGGTATGCAGCAGGTGCTGGTTCAGTAGACTCTCCTCTACATTTCCATTTTGGCAGGAAGCCTTAGCATTGAACAGTTGTGTTGTTAAAGTGCGAAGTACATAACTCTGCACAGATGGTCAGTCAATGCAACTTAAGCAACGTGCAGTCAGTGAATTCTTGACAGCAGAAGTTGTCACCCCAAAGGAGATTCATCAGAGAATGCAAGCTGTTTATGGTGATTGTGTTGATGTGAGTACTGTGCGTCATTGGGCAAGTAAGTTTAAAGATGTTGAGGTGGGAACATCTGACTTGCGTGACAAACAAAGAGTTGGACGTCCTGTGACAGCAACCACCGAGTTTCACAAGCAAAAGGTTGACAGATTTATTCAGGACAATCGTCATATCACTCAGAGAGAAATTTCAAGCATAATCGGCATTTCACAAGAATGTCACATTATTGCTTTGCTTGGCTATCAGAAGGAGATTCATCAGAGAATGCAAGTTGTTTATGGTGATTGGGTTGATGTGAGTACTGTGCGTCATTGGGCAAGTAAGTTTAAAGATGTTGAGGTGGGAACATCTGACTTGCGTGACAAACAAAGAGTTGGACGTTCTGTGACAGCAACCACCGAGTTTCACAAGCAAAAGGTTGGCAGATTTATTCAGGACAATCATCATATCACTCGGAGAGAAATTTCAAGCATAATCGGCATTTCACAAGAATGTCACATTATTTCTTTGCTTGCCTATCAGAAGGAGATTCATCAGAGAATGCAAGTTGTTTATGGTGATTGTGTTGATGTGAGTACTGTGTGTCATTGGGCAAGTAAGTTTAAAGATGTTGAGGTGGGAACATCTGACTTGCGTGACAAACAAAGAGTTGGACGTTCTGTGACAGCAACCACCGAGTTTCACAAGCAAAAGTTTGACAGAATAATTCAGGACAATCATCATATCACTCAGAAATTTCAAGCATAATCAGCATTTCACAAGAATGTCACATTATTGCTTTGCTTGGCTATCAGAAGATCTGTGCATGATGCGTACCCAGGATGCTTAGGCCTGAAATGAAAGCGAACAGACTTGAAACTTCAGAGACTGGATTTCACCACTATACGACATCCTCCATAAAGTCCAGATTTAGCACCATCTGACTTCCATCTGTTCCTGATAATGAAAGAAGATCTGCAGGGACATCATTATGCTTCTGATGAAGACGTTGAGAGAACTGTGGGACGCTGGTTGCGGAAACAGAGTATCGACCTCTTCAGAAAACTTGTTTATCGTTGGCAGAAATGTATCCAATTGTCTGGTGATTATGTGGAAGAATGAATAGTGGTAGTTAAAGAGCACATTCTAAGAATTATTTCTGCGTTTGATTTATTAAAATATTCCCATCCAAACCCAAGTAACGAAGGTGGATGCATTACTTTTCATTCAACCCTCATAACATAGACATTGGGTCCTACCTCTACTCTTTCTATCCATGAGAATAAGAAAAAAACCACATCTTGTTAGGCTGAAGGGAAAGCAAATACAAGATGCAAAATCAGTACCAATATTGACTGTATTGGTTGAATATTCTTCTCTTTCTCTGTGTGATATCAATAAATATAGGTTACATATTAGTGTGGGACAACAAATAGACTGTTTGGATTTTTTTAAAAAAAATTGGCAATAACTACAGTAATAATCACATCCTCCTGACAGTTTTTTTCATATCTAGAGCAGGCCTCAGCCAAAGGGATGCTACTTGGACACCTTTACATTCAGTGAAAATCATAATCCCATTTCTGCTAATTTTCTTGTGTTTTCAAAGAGGATGGAAGGAGTGTTTAATGTTATGTATTCAAATGCCCAAGAGGGCTAAATCTCCATGCTATTTACACTGTACTCTTTTCTGTAGGTACAAAGAGTCTTTCTACAAAGTCTATCATGAGGAGACAGCACTCTGAAGGTCTTCTGAGTAGGTCATTAATTTCTTGATGAACTCATCAATGAGCCTTGGCTATTAGAACCAGCAACGTGCATAATTATGTGAATTGCTCACACAATTATCTGTTTTTAGCCATTGCCAAGAAGATCACTGGAAAAGATGTTGCACTATGGACCATATGCGATTATGTGCGGAGTGAAAATACTAGTCCATCTAGTCTTTTGTGATTCCAACGTGACGCCCTTCAGATGTTTCAGGCTACTACTTCTTATTGATCATGCTGATGTGAGATGAGGTGAAAAAGATCTGCAGCACAAATCTACAGAAGTTTGGGAGACAAATCTAGAAGGGATCATGGGGCACATACTGCTCTGAGTGACCAACTAACCACGCACACCCATCCATGGGGAACTCCCCCAAATTCAGGAGCATATTTACGTTGTGAACTTAAAAGGAAGTGTAATTTTTACACAGCCGAAGGGAGGAAATAATGTGATACAAACTACACTTCATGTCATGGGATGCTGGTATGTGGCTTATAGTTTTCCAATCACAATGTCCCTGAAACACTGCACACTGGACAAACATGCCACGGTACTATGTTATATTCCACCCTTCTCACTCTGAAGGGGACTCACGGCGGCTCACCAAACACATATACAGCAAACATTCAGTGGCATTAAACAGAAAGGACAGACAACAGGTAGAGTTGTATATATGGCCTTTTCCCAACGTTGGTGTCCTGGAGCTTGTTCTAAATTCTGACCATGAGGGGTGCTGTCACTCCATCCTCTATGTCAAAGAGCCCTTGATCACAGACTTCCTCCTTTCTTTAATCACCAGCATTTTCTGGTATTTTTTAAATGGTGCCATAAAATACCTCCCCGTAGATAAATACCTAATTTATTTACTCACAGCTGTTTTCGAATTGCTTAGGTCAGTGTTTCTCAACCTGGGGGTCGGGACCCCTGGAGGGGTGTCAGAGGGGTCACCAAAGACCACCAGAAAACACAGTATTTTTTGTTGGTCATGGAGGTTCTGTGTGGGAAGTCTGACCCAATTCAATCGTTGGTAGGGTTCAGAATGCTCTTTGATTCTAGGTGAACTATAAATCCTAGCAACTACAACTCCCAAATGCCAAGGTCTATTTCCCCCAAACTCCACCAGTGTTCATATTTGGACATATTGAGAATTTGTGCCAGGTTTGGTCCAGATCCATCATTGTTTGAGTCCACAGTGCTCTGTGGATGTAGGTGAACTACAACTCCCAAAACTCAAGGTCAATGCCCACCAAACCCTTCCAGTATTTTCTGTTGGTCATGGGAGTTCTGTGTGCCAAGTTTGATTCAATTTCATCGTTGGTGGAGTTCAGAATGCTCTTTGATTGTAGGTGAACTATAAATCCCAGCAATTATAACTCCTACAGGACAAAATCAATACCCTCCCCCAATCCCACCAGTATTTAAATTTGGGTGTATTGGGTGTTTGTGCCAAATTTGGTCCAGTGTATGAAAATACATCCTGCATATCAGATATTTACATTACTATTCATAACAGCAGCAAAATGGCAGTTATGAAGTAGCAATGAAACTAATTTTATGGTTGGGGGTCACCATAACATGAGGATGGGGGTTGTGTGGGGTCGTGGGATTAGGAAGGTTGAGAACCACTGGCTTAGGTTGACAGTGAGCTGGGCTGAAGGTTGGGCGCTCACCCTGATCCAGGCGTTGAACTTCCAACCTTTTCATTGGTAAGATTTATTGCAGTTGGTGATTAACCAGCTGTGATAAAACCAAGATGGCAGAGTCCATTCACAACAGAGTATAGCTTATCAGCATTTCATCAGAGTACAATAGTTACTTCTGACCTTCTTCCTACACACTGTTTGATAAA